GCTCAGGGGGCTCAGTGCAGCTCAGAGGGAAGGGAGGAATGCTCAGGCCAAGTGCTGTGTCCTTGGCAGTGGACAGAAACCTGCATGATGTCCACAATAACCATTGAGCTTGCACCCCTCAGGAGGAAAGAGGACTCGCTGGGGGGCCCGAGGGGGCTGCAGAGCTCTGCTGCACGCTGCCAGGTACATTTTTCTGTAGGTCTCTGCAGACTCTGGGCTCTAACCCTCCTGGCCCGGTTGGCAAACAGCCTCTGTCCCAGGCAGGCTGCCAGGTGCCTTTACTGGACCTCTCTGATAAGGATGCAGCTGGAACCTTTTTCTGACCAACTTCATCAGCTGAGCAAGTGGGGCTGCTCGGAGCCTGGGCAGCACGTGGGGTGCAGCAGGCTGGACTGGGGCTATCTTCTGTGAGGGGGGCTGGAATGGCAGAAACTGAATCACTCTTGCTTGCTTTGGGGTTTTTTCTTGGCTGAAAACTTCTCAAGCAGACCTAAAATGGTTCCGTGCTTTAAAGCAGTTTCTTTGTCCTCAGAACAGCCGGTGGGAATACTTTAAAACAAAAAAAAAATGCTCCATTTCCTAAACCAATAATGACTTGCTTTAAACGCACATTTCAACAGTGGTTTTACCCCCCCAGGGCCCCGGGAGCACTGCTCACGCTGATACAGCTGCACTGGCAACCGGTTCCCTGCAGCCTTCTGGCTCTACCGGTGGCGTTGGGGTTGCACAGACCCTCAGGCTGTGCCAGCACAAGCCAGGGGAAGTGAGGTGTTCTGCATGCCGGGCTTGTTCAGATGTGAATGGACCATAGCCCAGACCATGCCAACAGTGGGGACCCCCTGCAGGACACCCACCTGCGGCCACCCATGTCCCACATTGGCAGCATTTGCCTCCTCCTACTCGTACCACAGGCAGTCTCCCATCCCCACTGGTCCTTTCTCCATTGAGTAAAGGATGGTGGTGAGCTATGGCTACAGGCAGGCTGGTGCCTGCACATGTCATGTCTCTGCATTGCTCAAAGGGTTCAGAATCCAGCCACTGAACTGTGCTGTGACTGACCCAATATCTTACCCTGCCAAGGAATGGAAACAAGACCAGGAGCCACCAGAACACCAGGTTTTCACGGGTCTAAAACTGCCTGTAGAGTACTTAAAGCAGTTGCAGACAGTGTGTGGGACTACAAACCAGATGTGAAGGATTCCCAGGCTTGAGATGTGACAGGGCCTGGTCATGAGCAAATTAGCTGTTTATTATGAAAGTCCTTTAAATTTAGGTCAGTTTCTCCAGTTTGCGTAACACCAGTTTTTGCAGCTTCTTCTGAGACAGACTAACCAGAACACCAGGCTTCGTCCAAAGTGGGAATGCTGGCACCCCACTGCCCTGCACCGGTACCGCAGCTGTGGTCAGGGCTGGGAGAGGCACCGGGAGCTGCTCTGCCCTCCCCATGCAGCTGCAGACCTCAGCAGGGTCACGCTGACCCGTGTGCTCTTGACACGAGGAACATCAGCCAGCTCTGGGGTTTGCTGCTTCCGCAGCATTCCTGCTGCCTCCCACCACAGCCAGTGGGGAGGTGCCAAGGAGAGGGCGAGCAGAGCCCTGTGTGCCCCTGTCCTCACCAGAGCAGGGTGACAGCAGGGGCATGGCATGGCAGCGCAGTGCTGGGATGGCCGAGGCACAGAGCAAAGGATGCCTGATCTGCAGAAGGACAAAGGTCCTGGGGCAATGCCTCAGGGAGAGGGGAGAGGACTGTATTTCTCTAAGCCTCCATGGGAATGGCAATCTTTCATGTATGGATTTAAGCATCTCCAGAACTTCTTCCTTTTAGGAGCTCTCAGAGCATCCGACAAAGGCTGTGAAAGCACTTCTTCCATGAGGAAAACAGAAAACACTGCTGCATTCACTGGTTCAGAGCATCTCCTGACTTTTTAAGCCAATTGCAGGATTTTTTTTCTGGTGGTCTGACTCTGTATGGATGCATAGGCCAAGTAATGCTGCTGATGGCTGCCAAGAAAATGTCTGCTGTAGAAGACTCTGATCTTGCAAAAAGCCCTGTGTGGGTGGATTCCTGAGCCATTATGGGTCTCTGTGCAGCACATAAATTCAAGATGTCTGTGCTCCACTAAGCACATTTCAATGCTAAATTTATCATACAGATGTGTCTACCGGAGTTCGCCCTTAACCTCTCCAGATTCTTCTTCCTCTGGGAAGTCCTCACGGGGCCCAGTCTCAAGCTTTGAAATGCCTGGTTGTGCTGTCTTTTCTCGTATACAAACCTATAAGGTTTTGCTTATGCTGAAGAAGATTTCTTTCTTGCTCAGTTGTACCAAAACATTGTCCATTACAAAATAAACCACGCACCTGTGGGTGGGGACTCCAGAGTTGTTGGGATAGTGCCCTGCTGCTCATTCCAATTTGTAGTCATTTAATGTGAGGGCTAATGGGAAAACAGTTTTTTTCTCGCTGTCATTTTGAAGACATCCATGCCTGGAAAAATTAATTATAGCCCCCAAAGGAAACCTTTCAGAGGAACAAAAACGGAGGGGAAAAAACCCCCAAAAGCTCTGAAGTTGCTGCTTGCCATCACAGAATGGAAGGGATTTGAAGCTCATGCAGTTCCAACCCCCCTGCCACAGGCAGGACCATGCTTGGCAGGAGCAGTGCTTGCTCAGGGACTGCAGCCAGGGCAAGCCACAGACCTGCTCCAAGCCTGCAAACCTGGACTCATGCTGCAAAGCTCAGCACCCTTATACTAGGGCTGGGATGGTGTGAAATAATTGCACAAGGACACGGAGATGGATACCAGGTCCAGCCAAAGACCCTCACCAACAACCAGAGCTGAATTCATTCCTCTCAAACCACTGGAGCAGTTCCTGATCTGCAGCTTTGCCCTGCTACATGATATTAGGTTAAAAAAATTAAACCAATCCCTCAACAAAGCAGTGAGCACTTTATAAGTAGGAAGATGTTTGTGCTGGAAGAGGCAGCTGAACGATCTGGGGAATCCAAAACAGAGCGGAGCTGTGGCTGCAGACACCGGCAGTGAGGAGGGCTCCGTCAGCCCCAAGGACAAACAGCCTTGCCTTGCTGTGTCCCTGCAGCGCTGGGACAGGTCCTGTGCTGCTCATGGGTCTTGAGCATTGCTTAAAGAAGGAAAAAAGCACACTTGGACTTCTTTTTTTCACTTCATGGAAATTTTATAAACACTTGAAGAAATCTATGCTTTTACATGACAAACCGGCTCCAGTGGCACGCCACGCTGCACAGGGTGAATCCCATGTTCCTGGCTGTGTCGCTCCTGTGGCGATGGCAGCAGGGATAGTGCCCACAGCCCTCCACCAGCACAACCCAGCACCCTGTTACTGCTCCGCTGCTGGTCCCAGCCTTCAGCTGCTCTCACAGAGGAGGAGGAAACAGCACAGACACACATGTGACAAATGCCTAAAATTACACAATGAAATACGTTTCTAATAAGCTGCTCCCCTCCACTGTTCACAACACCAGACTTAAAACCAAAGTCCCTTGGCTCTTTTTCTTCCCACAGCCCCAGCTCTGTCCCACAGGGTCTGCACTGGGTGGTGAGCATGAGGCTGCCTGTACACCAGCAGTGTCAGAGATGCAACAACCATTGTTTCCAGGTCCACATGCAGAGGCACCACCAGAGACACCCATGTCCATGCAAGTCCGTGTGCTTCCCAAGCCAACAGCCTCAAGGAGTTCTCAAAGCACAGCCCAGAGAGTGAAATGCTGGCCTTCTGTGGATGAGCCCCTGGCCTGACACCTCTGGGACAGCCATCCCAAGAATGAAGCCACCAAAGGGCAGGCTCAGGCACCAGTGCTGCCCACAGCGGGATACCTGGGACTGGTTTCTCTGCTGGGTGGCTGGAAAGGATTCCCAGCCATCTGGACTGGTCAGAACACCTCTCCCCTGCTTCGCTCTCACTGGCTTGCAGCTCCATCTTAACTGCTCTCTTAGATACCTGATCAGAAAAACACAATGATGTGCTTTGTTTCAGCGCTGCTCACACCTCCCAGCCACTTGCCAGAGGGTGCAGCACAAAGGGTTCACCGCAGCTTTGAAAAGCCCTGAGATGCCAGAGTGTGTAACACAGTCTAGATGTTGATACCACTGGGGTTTTTGTCTTTTAAAGCCACTTTTACGTGCCACTATTCAAAGCACGGGGGGAGGGGGGTACAGGAGTGAGCAGCTGGGGCACCACGAAAGCCCAAGAGAGCAGAAGCACCATTGACACAATACGTGTGTGTCCAGTGAACGCCAGAACTACATTCAGCAATAGAGCAGACAGACACTAGCTACATGCACAAGGCAAGGTCAGGAGGCAGCATGGAGAGGACCATGGCAGCATCCCACCGGCAAACCTGTGCCAGGTAGGACACCAAGTGCACTCAAAAGGACGGAGCACCCGGGAAGCAGCTAATGCGAATGTTTGGTCACTGGTTTGGGAATGCTCCCAGCACCCAAGGAAAATAATTCAGAACAAGGAAGTCACCTTTGGGCTGGTGAGAGAAAGCAGGGAAACTGCTCATTGCCTATTTACAGCTGAGGAACTGAGCCCGGGTGTCAGCTGGAACCACAAATAAGCTTTCGTTGTTAACAGGGGTACTAGGTGTGGTCCTGGCTAGGAGAAACCTTCCATAATGAAGGGCATCATCTACAAAGCCACTGCTGAGGAAAAGAGACTGGACATCTCTTGGACTGGAAATTAATACAACAAGCAAACAAGAAATTGGATGCCTCTTAGAAAAATAATGGGCTTTGGCCCACATTCAGCAAGTATCAGTTCCTCACCACCTCTGTGCTGGCCCACCAGAATAACCCCAGGATAGAGACTTCTTGGTGGGAAGTAGATCTGGTGGGATAATGGCTCACATTGGAGGAGTAAGAGGAAGAGGAGGAGGAACAGCGCCTGCTGCCTCCTTCTCCCAGGTGTGCTCTTGAAGGCTGCTGACCTGACCAGTGCTGACTGGAATGATGTGATCAGCACCAACTGGAATGATGTGATCAGCACCAACTGGAATGCCAATGCACAGGCAGGCAAAGCCCCCCTGGCACAGCCATGTCTGCCAGCATGGTTTTCCAGGACAGGGGCAGGCTGATGCCAGGGAGGAGATGAAGGATGTCCTGCAGAGCTAAGGATGATGGTCCCCTCAATTCCTGTCCTGCCTGCCTTAGCACAGCAGCATTTCCAGTAACAGATGCTGCTCTCCTACACACTGAAAAAAACACACTACAGCACACTATAGCTTATTGAGCAAGGAAAACAGAACATAAAGGGAAGGAGCTTCTTGTGGCAAGGGGCCAACCCAAACTCCGGTTGCTCTACCCTTGCATCCAAGCCTAAGAAGTTAGCCCCTTGTGTTTTGACTCCAATATCTGTCTAAGGTCACCCTTGCCAAGGTACATTTCCCAAAAAGTGAGCAGGTAAATGGCCACTCTAGTCCAGGCTGTGTTCTTTCCACAGCCCTGCCAACGCTGCTGAACACCTGTAAGGCCACACATGAGCATCCTTCACAGCCTGCGGGAGATGACAGGTGGAAGGGCTGGGAACAGTTCAACACAGATGTGTGGGTAGGGTCTTCTCTCCATCCTTATCTCACTCTCTTCTAATTTCTTGAGCCACTTATGACAGCATGCTCTGAAATTATCGTCCGGTAAGATAGCTGCTCTCCAGGGGCACTGGAACTGGAAAAGTCTTAGCTGTGACACATCCATTTCACAACCACAGAAAATCTCCTGGGTCCAGCTGGGCTGAGACGGTTACAAAGTCTGGAAGAAGACAACAACCATGTTCTATACAGCAGTGTAAATTCATCAGCGATTGCAAAACCACAACCAGAGCAAGCCCAGATCTTGGCACCACCAGCTGATTTACTCCACCCTGCCATAATACCCCTCGACCATGGGCCACTTCCAGTCACTACCTTGCCTTCTGCAAGGTTCTCCTACAGGAAGGACATTTCTCCTGATCTTTCTTTTGGGATTCCCATTGCCTCCACTACACTCCCACCACCCTATAAATGCCAAATTTGGCTTACATGTGTGCTTTTGGTTTATTATCTGGTTTGTTGCCACAAACACTTACCTTTAGTCTCAGCTCTCATCACCTGGGATCCTGCCTTGTGGTGATGAAGAACTGTATAGAAGGAAGTAGAAGAATACAGAAAAAAGTATTAATGCAATAAGCAAGCTCAAACTCAGACCCAAACCTAAATCAAGGGCTGGGTAACAGTCATGTCAGGGATGTATTCTGCAATATAGCAAGTGGACTCAACATTTATCAGACTTACACGCAAACCTGCTTGCACTTTTGGCAGAGGCTGGCGATCTTTAATGGCAGGAAGCTGAAGCTTATTTGAGTAGTTATCATTACAAATGAAATCTGCTGCCACAAAGCACAATGCTCACAATCCAAAGCTCCCCATCCCAGCCTAGCCCAAAGGCATCCATGCCCAAGCTGTCACTCCATCCCACCATACCTGTGGTGGAGCTATGCCTGTACATACAGTGTGCAGGACCAACCATCCTCTGGTCGCACATCTCTGATCAGCTGCTTCCATCTAACCAGCCCTCTTCGTCTCTCCCATGATCTTATCTCTGCTCTCTGCAAAGGCTGAGAAGTACACTGTGCACTACACTGCTTAAATGCACACACACAATAAAAGGAATCCATAGATATATTTATCACTTAGCTGATTTACGTTTAACTTCTCAAGTCTGTATCTGGATTCCCATTTTACACTTAGTGCTCTTTGTTTAGTTCCAGCATGTTGGCTGAGACCCATCTTCTGCCCATGAGTATAAGGCAAGAAAGGTGGGACTGGGACTTCCTGAGCTGACTTGCTTTGCCTCTGAGGGAGCACCCCATGCAGTGGGGCTGCAGTTATTTACATGCCAGCTTCTCCATGCTGTGCTTACTTGCTTGTTCTTCGGGAAGCTGTCTCAAAGAACTTTGTCCTAGAGGCCACCCTGCAAAAAGAACAAAAGAGGTCACTCCAGTTATCTGATAAGACAAGTTGCTAATTAGATCTCATCTATGCTAGGGAAAAGAGCAGTAGCATTAGCAGACACAGAAGATAATCACCTTTGACCGATGGCTTTTCTGCTGAGGCACATGCCCTGCTTCTTATGCTGACAGCTCCATTTCCCTCTATCTTCCCACTGCCCTGGCCTTGCAGACCTCATCACTTTTGGCTAGAATGCTTATTTCTGGCTCTTGCTTACATTCCTACATACTGGTTTATAAATCTGCATTTATCACCTTTTATGGCCTCTCCTTCACTTTTTATGTACTCCATCCCTGCTGGGATGGCAGAGAAATGGAATGTGCGTCTTTGCTGGATGTGCAGCAGCAGAGAGCTCCTCAGTGGACCCAGGTTACAGCCTCCCCAGCAGCCAGTCCTGGCTGCTGGGCTGAGATCCCTGTGTATTTAGTCACCCTTTTTCTTTATTATTTGTTTTTCTTTTGATTCCCATTGAAGCTAGCAAGGTTTCTGTCTCTTTAACATCTGAAAGAAATCTGATGAAGCTGAACTTCATACAATTTCCTTAAGAGAGACCCAAGCTGGATCTTGTCCTTCCCAGGGAAGCATCTCATCTGAGACGCTTGCTCAGAGCCAGGCAGAGAGGGATTTTTCAGCTTCACCACAGGAGAGAAGGTGATGGGACAAAGCTCAGTCCCAGGGCTGTACTTGAGAAAGTTCAGAGCTTTGTTTTTGCTGCATGTGCTTGTCTTTGCTGTGACCATGGCTCCCCTCCCAGGCTGTGCCCTCTGCACAGCTTTCCAGTGTGTCATTCAAACTGCACTCGTATGGGTGTTGAGGGGATGTCCACAGGCTCCAGCTATTGTACATCACCACCCCTGGAAACCACTGTGGTATTTCTCGTCCTCCTCTCCCAAAATTGCCATTAACTGACATCAGCTTCTACTCCTGCTGCCTGGGCTGATCTCATTCCCCTGCATGTTTCCCCAGCCCACTGGTGTCGGCACCTCCCTCGGGCTGAGCTGCCCACCCCAGGTACCACACGCTCACCAAGGGCTGCTGACTTACACAGATGAAGGCATCTCTTCTGCTGTTCCCCCTATCAGATCTGGCCTCTGCTCCAGCTTTGGAGGGACAGGAGTCCTGCATGGTGGGTCTGGCGGTCTCACCGGGGGACGCATTATCACAGGCTTATCACCATGGGATCGTGGCTTAGGGACACCATCGCACTCACCTGCAAGTTTGAAGTTTATGAACACTGAGTATGAAGCTTTGGTAGAGGGCTAGATGTTTATGAAGAGGTGTTAAACAAGTTAGCGGCCTTAGTTCTGTCTGTCTATCTGTCTGCCCCCACGCCCTCACTCTCACAGTGGCTAAGAGGGAAAGAGTCCCAGAAAAAGGCAGTTCCCATTCTGCCCACCCCAGTACAGCCTTCCTGGCACTAGAAAGAGGGCCTGATGCTGAACCTTGTGATGACAAACTTGATATAGCTGCTGATCGCAAAGATGATATTGCCTGGGAATGACAAGCTTTCTTAATCAAAACCTGTGCAGTGCTGCTCTTCAAAAGCAAGAGGAACAGCACAAATTGCTGATCCCTGCAGTCTAGGGCCGCTGCTCCTCTGAGTTTTTATCTCAGACAGTGGCACTACGTGTCCTCTCCCCCAGCCTTCTGTTCTGCTCGCAGGAGTTCCTGCCTCAGTGGCTTGTCTTCCCCAAGATTCAGCCAACTTCGTTATTCACTTCACCCTTGGAGACTTTCTAGGGTTAAGCAGAAAAGGAATAAATGCCGCCCCTGGTGACCCAACACCTTCCCTTCAGTGCCTGTTTTGTAAAGCTCAGCATCCAATACCTGCTGTTATGGCACTGTGTGCTGTCCTGCAGACAGCTCCCCAGTGTCTCTATAAAGCTTATTAGAATACAAACAATAAGTATTTATATTTAATAGCAATGGGTGAACCAGTAAAATAAACATTCCCAGTAAGGCCTCAATAAACCAGAAACTGTGCCACAGGCAGCCTGACAGACACAACCCTTAGAAATTAAAATGTGAAAGTGACTTCAGCCATTTTCCTCATCCTGCTGAGGAAAGCACTGGCAATCCAGGGTGCTTATAGCTGGTTAGACTGGATACAAACTGCTTTGGGTTTAATGGTCTTTATATTGCCATTTGAGCCTCAATTTTATGAGTCCACTGAGCTAGGCTGAGCTTACCACAAGAGCCTCAGCTACTGTACAGCAAGCCTGACTTCATCCGATGCTGATGGCATCTAATGGGCTCAGCAGGGATGGCACAGCACCGGCACCAGCACCAGCTCTGAAGCCTGCCTCAAAACCTGGCAGCAGCTGCATCCCCAGTAAGCAACACAACAAAGGTACCCACTGTTTGAAATCAAACAGGACAAGCCAGGAGGCCAAGACCTGATCAAACCCTTGGGCTGCGGGGCCTGTGCCCATATCTCAAGCTGTTCCAGTCTCCCAGTCCCTCTTCTGAGCTACATCAAGAGGACTCAATGTGAGAAGCCCCAGTCAATCCAGAGCATGATGTGCAATGGGGAAGGCTGGTTTGGGTGCCTTGAGTTTTCCCCAGCAGAATGGCACTCCTTGTGCCTTGCCTCAGCTAGGACCACAGCCCCAGGCTCACCCTCTCTGCCGCACATTCCTGGTCGGGGAGCAGGTCTCTTGGCCTGGAGTGTGGAGGTCCTCAGGGCAGGGCTGGCCACCACGCCATTGGCTGCCTTACTGGCCGGCTTCACTCCTCCATCCTGCAGCCTGGCCACCATCTTCCCCACCTCTGCCTCGGTGCGTGGGTAAGGCCGGCCCTCGGAAGGGGAACGCCCCGGCTCATCTCCCCCCAGCCGTGGGGCAGGCAGGCGGCTGCGGAGCAGTGGCTTGGGGACCTCCGTGCTGCTACTGCCATTGGGGGTCTGGCTGTGCCGCTCTGCTGTGGAGCCAACAGGACAGACAGACACTGGGTTAGGAAGCAGCATGGAGGCATGGTGGTCTCTGCCCCAGAGCCACAAAGGCTCCTGTGGTACCAAGAGACAAGTATGTGTGTGTGGGGATGGACAGACCCTCACCCTGAGCAAAACACAAACAGCGAGAGGCTCACGTAAATGTTGAGGCATGAAGAAAGCTGAAACAATACTACAGAATATACTTATGGGTTTCTTTTATATTTCCAGTGCTCTTGCTCACGACAAGTTGTGTACCATGCATTACATCCCTCCAGAAATGATTCAACTCATCCCTTTGGCTGTGCTAGAGGCTCAGGCAGGGTGTGCAGAAGCAGTGCTATGAAACCAATGGCACCCTGCAGCCTTGGAGCATCAAATGCTAATGCTTCTGCTCCCAGTTTGGAGAAACATTTAAATGTAAGGCCATCTCTCACTACATGAACAGTCTTGTGATTTCCATGAGCAATCTGCATCAATCATGTTTTGCCAGTGGCAAAAAGTACACTTGTAGCATTAGGCCTAAAACATCATCAAAGCTCTGGAAACTGTAACAGAGGAAAAGACTTTGTCTCTGATGATATGATCAAGGGCACAGCCTGCAACGACAACTACAGAAAATCAGGCGCAGAGAGAAGCCTGATGTGCCCTTCAATATGATAACAAGGGCCTCAGTATTTTCTTACAATCAAATGATTTTAACAGCTGAGTTGTACTTGGTCTAGAAAATACTATCACTGGGCCCTGAAGAAGTTCTTGCTCCAGATGTACTATCAGCAGGGGCAGAGCTGGCCCTGCCATTCCCCTCAGGATTGCCATGATCTACTGGGACAGGGCTCCAGCAGCAAACAGCCTCCACTCATTCCACCACCGCTGCTCCTCAGCTGCATTTACATCACTTTGCTTTTTTTGCCTCTGAAGCAAAACCTCTTAGTTTAGCTAATGGAGAACGCTGCAAGTAATGGGGGAAAAAAGTTCCCAAGGAGTTTGAGTTGTGAGATGATGCAGCCTATGTGTGAGGGGTTTTTTGCTTTCTTTACTCACTGAACAACAAACGTCACTTTCCCTTATGGCCTGGGAAGTGCAGTCCTGTGATTGATATCTCTATTGCTCCCTGAAAGGTGCTAAAAGAAACAGGAGGGATGAAAGGCAGGTAAGGCACCAGTGAACAGCTGGACTGACCTCCACTTTCTTCCACAGAAGCACCGAAGAAGATGGGTCTTTCCCTCAGAGGACGTTTGGAAATGGTGATGGGTTTATGCCGCCGGGCAGCTACTCTTGGAGGAGGCACCGGTGGCGCCGTGGTGTCTTCTGGTGGGCCAGAGTAGATCTGTAAAGGCAGATACATTTAGATGGCCTGACCTGAAGGGGCTGGTGCTGCACCTCCAGCCAAAGGTCTGCCTGCCAGCACAGACAGGGATGGTGGCCACCCTGGACAACTTCCCCATGGCCCCACAGCTCCAGCAGTGTATGGTTCAGACCCCCCTCCCCAGCCAAGCACCATGCCATGTCAGGCAGCTCTCTGAGGACAGCACACCACACCAGGAACAAAGACCCAGCTCCTGTCTGGCAAGTGCCCACCCACTGCCTATGTCAAGGGCTGCCCTACTCCTCTCTGCTCTGCAGCACGCATAGAAGCGGTCTGTGGCTTGATTCAGCCGTGGCTGACCCCAGAGGGCTGGAAAAGCTGCTCCAAACCCCACTGAGCAGCCACAGCCCACAAGAACCTGGCAGGGCCCTCACAGCCGTTTACTCCAGCCCTGTGAGTCCCTCTGGAGGGGGACAGACAGTGCCCACCAGCTGCCCTCAAAGGTCAGCAGCACCCAGGAGAGCCCCGGCTGCTGGGGCTGAAGCAGAGCCGGTGCTTTAGTTACAGATCCATACATGTGTCCAGCTGCTGGCATTCCTCCAGTCAGGCTGTGTGCTCTGCACCTTGCACACCTCCTGCAGCACTGAACTAATGAATGCAGCAAAATCACCAATACAGACAAAATGTGTAGGAGCAAATTATCCTGGAAGAGAAGAAGGGAGCTTTGAAGCTGACAGTTTCTGAGAAACATCAAGATTTCCACATCAGTGAGGCGATACAATCTATGGAAAGCACCCAAACAAATTGGTTTAGATTTAATGCTAAAAACCCTTCAGCTCTTGGCTTACAATGAAGCGTGTGGCACTATGAAGTTATCTTGGATGAAATACTCGCACAAAAACAATGCTGCCAAGGAGTTTTATCGCATTTTCTCACTGGTGATATGGCACATATTTGCTCGGCTTTAATCATCAGTGCTTTTTTTATGAAATGAAAAAGAATTAAGCTTCCAGGCAGTTTCCTGAAGATCTGAACCACCACATTAAAGACCAAACCCAACTGCTCTTGTGTTTTTCCCATGAATATTAATTGAATTTATATCAGGTTTAGAGTGAGTTACTACAGATGGGGTGGCATGAGTTGTTGAGACCAGAGGCTGCACAACCCATCCTGGAAGGACGTGGAGCTGGTCCCTTCCTGCTGTCAGCAGCAGACAGCTCAAGTTCAGAGGACAAGCACGACCACTAATCCCACTGACAAGCAGGGTCGCTGCTCTCTCAGTGCACACTTTGGTATGGAAGAACAATATTATTCTGTCACTCGTAAAGATTTTAAAATGAAGAAATTCAAGATTCTGATTTGATTGAGCACGACATTTTCGTAACTCCAACTGAAAGCATATTCTTTCTTCTCCCAACCAAAAAGCAGTTCTGGGAAACCAAAATGGGGATGAGAGAGAAAAACACGACCTGCTTTAACCTTCTTGATCTTGAAGACCAAGGACCGTGTACTACGGTGAGGGTGGGCACTGGCCTCCTCACCTGGGCAAGGGCAGACCTGAACTACACCCAGCCTGGTCTGCACAGGCTTCCCCTCAGCAGGCTCGGTATAAATACCATATGCTGATAGGCTTCTCTCCTGACTTACTCTGCCTGAAGAGAGGAGGAACAACACATCCAGGGCAAAGACCCAGCTGACCCCAAATGGGTCATTTCAGCTGCTTTTCTTTCCCTATTTGGTGACACATGGTGGCTGCTGATGCTTAATGCCAAGAGGGGCTCTGCACTTCGCAGGGTTAGTACATTTTCTCTGCTCCAGAATACAAGGTCGGGTGTATTCCCCCTGCCTGGATTCAGAGGAATCTGCTGGGACAAAACAGCCCATGATTTAAAAGCAGCAGCTCGTGTATTAGTAAAATAGCAAATGATTACCTGCAGCAGGGCCATTTTCTGGAAACATCAACCTCAATCCTATACATTGACAAGAATCCAATATTGTTTTGTAAAGAAAAAGAGTAAGTAGATTCCTCAAGGATGATTATAAAGATACCACAGAATGCTGTTTTCACAAGATGCTTTCCCACATCTGAAACCCATGCTAAACCCCACTGCAAACTACTCTTTTTAAGATGTGGTGGCTGCAGCCTCTGCTTTGCTTCTGCCTCCTAAATGAAAATCCAAGTTAAACAACTTGAAAGTACAAAGATATTGACAGATCCTCATATTCAGAAGGTTTGTACAGCGAAGAAGGTATTTCTAGAATCATCAACTTCTTTAATTTAACTGAAATATGAGCTGTGGAAACAGTAATTACCCACAAAGACTTCATGAATAGTTACTTTGTCCTTAGAGTCTTCATATCACACATTATAAACCATATTCCCCTCTTCCTTCAGACTCATTTAAAGTGTTTGCTCATGTGTGAGCTGAAGACACTTTCAGCTGTGAAGCTGAACCTACAAGCTCAATCTAATAAATGTTACTAACTTAACCTTATCGTTGAAGAAATTAAAAGCAAGCAAAGAGGCATCTGGCTTAATTAAAGATTTAATTCCATCTCTTAGAGGCGGCAATATAGATGATGTGTTGACTCAGCCTGCACCATGGGCTGTACAAGAGGGAAGGCAGAGGCTCAGCTCTCAGCAAGTTGTGTGAGGATCCCACCACACAAACAATTCACTGTTTTGCTGTGGGAACTTATTAAAAACATTAACAAAGATCTACAAAGAAACTGGCTTGTGATTTTCATGAGTTTCTTGTGTGGTTGCTCAGAAGTCTCTCCCAGTTCTTTCATCCCATTTATCTCATTTCAATCCTCAGCACCACAACCAAATCCCACATCGCCCATCTGGTCCTTGTGTTTGGTTGTTCCAAATCCACATCTCCATTTGCAAGAACCTTGCTCTTTCAGTTTCAGCCTCCTCTTCCCAAAAAGGGAGCTTCACCTCTGTAGATGTGCTGCCCTGTCTGCTGAGAGCGCTACCCCAACCTCCTCACAACAAACAACATCCTCTAAAGGATGGCTCCAAACTTTCCCTACTCTAAGACATAAATGTTTGGACATTCTGTAAAGTATTACAAAAAGCTGAAGGAGCAAACTCACTCCTTTGAACCTAGCACTGTTACCAGGAAAGAAATCTGGAATGCAAATGCTGCTCAAGTTTTTAAATCTTAACATACAGCTCTATCATCCTCCAGCCACCCTGAAAACCCAAAGTGATTGTATCAGATAGTACATGGAGGAAGCACTAAAACAGGAGACAGCAGAAAACTCTTCTTTGCATCAGGAAACAAAATGCCACACAATAAAGCAGCTGTTATCTATACATGAGTCTTCAGCACCCACCACAGCAAACTAAGCCAGGCTGTGCATTCAGGCAATGCTCTCACACAAAAATGTTCAGCAAAGGTCCCATGGAAGGCAAATGCTGCTGGAGTCTTACTGGGGTGCACTGCCCCACGCTGAGCACTGCCCCACACAACAGGACCTGCTCATGTCTTCTCTGATAGCTCCACCCCAGGCAGCAGCTCCTCTCCCCAGGACCTGTTGCCTGGATCTCAACAGATCATAGGCACTGCCGAATTATTTTCATCAACCTTTCAATTGTCTGCTTTGGGTTTTTCTCCCCTGTATTGCAGAGTGCCTCATCTTGGACTGTGCCTGTTGAAAACGGTTATGTGCTGGTCTAGCTCCCGTCTTCAGAAAAGGAAAGCAGAAGGTCCTGAAATGTCCAGATATAGGTTTTCTGGGATTATTTTGTTGTTGTTTTTTTCTTTTTTAAATAAAGATTCCTCTTATTTAAGGAGAAAAGATCCTAGACTCAGGGTTTCCTTCAGAACTAACTGAAGGCAATAGCAAGAAACATAGCTGCTACACTTTGTTCCCTTCTGAAGAATTTCAGAACAGTGCATTACATAAAATACATCCCAGCCCCTAAGGAGACTCCAGAAGAAGGAGCCAGAACTCTACATCGTTGCCACAGCAACAGTTTGCATGAACAGGATGGAGCAGCCAGGAGCTGTGTGGCACTGCTCCTGGGACTGCTGCCTGTACCTTCCCAAAGTGCTCAATGAGGATCTCAACTACTATGTTTTGGAACTTGATGTTCATCATCGCTGCTACGGTGTCCTCCTGTGCACGCATGAGGGTAGGTCCAAATATCACCCCCATGTTAGACGGTGACATCAGATTCTCTCGGCTGTGCTCACATATGCTGCAGAGAGGAGGGAAAGAAGGAATAGGGTTTAGTTTGGTTGGTTGGTCGGTCTGTTTTTTTTCAAACAGATCTTATTGCAACCAATTAAAAAATGACACAGTAAGAATCAGTGGTTCAATTTTCTTCATTTTGTTTTAGGAGAATTTGTTTCCCAACCCTTCAGAGACAAATCAAGTCGTTAGTTCTGACATGCACATTTGGCCAGGACAACAGTCTGGAAGAGCAACATGCTGACAGGGTTTTTATTTGATCCTTTCCCATTCCCAGCTCCTCTAGTAAGTCTGCAATCAAAAGTCATCTGTGCAACATACACATAAATGGACTAATTTAAATTGGAATATCCCATTTATCCAGAGCTGGCTTTTGCTTTATTTTTCCTACTCTCTGAAGGAGGAGGACTGAATGCAGGAAGCACACTTTGGAGTTTTACAATAAATCTCTACACATCATCATCTTCTCTGAGAGAACCACTGTTTTCACAGAGCAGAGCTCTCTCTGGCCAGGACTGTGCATATCTGCAGAGCAACACCAATCACTGACTGAAATACTGACCACCTAGGTGAGTACTACCTGTTTCCAGAAGTAGATCAAGGGAGAGAGACTCTGATGCTGACATGGAATGAATTCTGAGTTTAATTCTGGGTTTGCCCTGTAGCTCTGGTGTTAAAGAGGTTTCTGTCAGCATGAGAGGAGAGGGACCAGAATTTAAGCATAAACACTTGAATGAATAAACACAGCAACCACAAGCATGGTGTTAGCTTCATCAGAGCACAGCTCTGCCATTTACACCAGGTGGTTTCTGAAAACCACACAAACATGGGCACAAAAGGCTGGAACCAGGACCCCCAGCCACGTCTCCCTGCCCCAAAGACAAGGCATGGCACTGACAACCAAGCACTCACCTTTGAGTGTCAGGCTGTGACAACCCCAGATCACTCCTGCTTATTTCTGAAACAGTCCTATTTTGAAAACAACTCCAAAAGTCCAAAGCAAGCCCTGTCATACAAAAATAATTGATTCTGCAAGCCCTGGCCCTTTCTGACCGACACACAGATTCCTCCCTTGCTTTTGAGCTTGAGACCTAATGTTTGTATTAACCAGAGAGAGAGATGACAATTTATAGTTACGCTGTCAGAGGGTACTTTCACGCTAAAGTAATTTCCTCCTTGGGGTGTGTCAGAAAGGGGATGAAAGTGGCAATTAGGGAGAAAAGCATCACTTAATGCAGCCGGTAGCAAAGATAACCATGCCATCTGGTGCAGTCCAAAGTAAATTCCTAAAGGAACTGTGGTGGATACAATTTTGCAAAGCTGACACAGAAAAAAAAGGGCTTGTTCTGCTGATCCCATTACTCCCCTCACCCTGGCTTTACAGAACAACTTCTGCTTACTTGACAAGATGTTGTATGAGGAGCTCTAACATCTCTCTGTTCTTGTCAGGTAGCTTATAGACCAGCGCATGAATGGCTCCCAGCCTGTAATCCAGGTTCTCAGATTCTGGAAAGGTAACACAAAAAAAAGTTTGTGCCCACTACTTTCAAAGTAAATACATAAGACAGATAAAGTTAAAACCAAAGAAAATCTGTTCCTTCTTCAGCATAGGGCTGGTTGGCCAAACCCAGCAATAGGAGACAGAAGGAAAGTGAGATTACATAGCAACAGGGTAAATCATTGTGAGAAACAAAATGAAGCGGACAGTGGAAGAAACAAAGCTTGAGAATGGAAGAAAAGAAGCCAGTGTGGCTGGGGAAACAGGCTGGGCATGGCTGGGACCTGCCCTTCTCACCCTCACCCCACACACCAGCACACCTGGGGAATGCACAGCCTCTCTGCTTATCAGCCCAGAGAGCTGTGATGCTGAACAACATGGTAAAATGTCTTGCAGGGAAAAAAAAATGAGCTCCTGACTCAAAGAGGTCACCCTTAGAAGCATGAATAATCAAGAAACAATAAAATACTTGGTGGGAAAAGAGTAGTGTGGGATCTCAGTAGCTCGGAATCTTAATGGTGAGAGTTTCTGAGGGAGGGTAGAAAAGGGATTGTGGTTTTGCACACACCCAGGCAGCACTGGTTTAACTAGTAATGAAACTACTAAATCTTGGACTTGAGCATAACCAATAGTGGTGGAAAATTTTCCTTTCCAAGAAAGAGCAAGTGTTATTCATTCTCCAGAGGTCCAAGCTTAGGAGAGTTGGGCACTCTCCTACCTTCCTGATGAGTTCAAGGAGGCATGGGGGTGTGAAGGATGCTTTACTCCAAAGTATTTCTGAATGTCCCATGAATTTCCAAACACCAGTACTCTCATCTGAGGGAGATGACCAACTCCCTGTATCCCTCTAGTCTCCATCCAATCACACTGGCTCCAAAGATACAACTAGTTCATCATTATTAAGGCTTATTTGAAATGGCCATAACAACAGGACAGCCAAGGACTGGCCAGTTCCACACATACTACTTGGCTAACCTCTTTTAATAGTGGCAGTGGCTCAGTCCCAAGAGCTGCAGCAGAAAAATGTCTTCCATATACTGGTAGACACTTTGGAGTCCACATTTTCACAACCTAAATGGTGAACCTATCTATCTGCATGGCAACAGCACATCCCATTCCCTCACAGGTTTTAAAGTAAATACATTAATACTATTGAGAACCAATTCTTCTGGGGCACTTGTGCTGATTTCAGGTTAGTTGACATCCCCTGGCTCTCCCAGACCTCCATGAAACCCTGCTGGAGGGAAGAGCACTGCAACAACAGTGAAGGGAAGAAATACCACAGTTAAACACTTGAAAGAGAGGGTCACTCCTCTTTCTACAGGGGAAAGTAGCCAGACACCCAGTGCTAGGCTGGCAGAGCTCTGTCAAGTGACTTTGATGGACACTGGTCAGGGAGGGCAGGGCTAGGGACTGGCGGCAGGGCGGCGGCGGCACTTACTGGCAGCCAGGACCAACTCTTTGTGGAGCTTGTATGTCATGACGGGTTCTGACAGGTTCCTGCAATAACCAGAAAGAAAACAGCTCTGGCAGGGCAATGTGACCCACTCCTGACGGAGCCTGAAGGACCGACGGGCCAACCTGCTCACTGTCCAGCACCACCAGTTCCCAGCAGCATCTTGCCCCCAGCCAGTATTATTTAAACAGCTTTCCCCGTAGGATGGGGGGTTTCTACAACAGGCATATTTCTCAGTTAAAAAAGAAAAACACCCGAATCAAACTCCTCCAAAACCAATTTAAAAAAAAAAGTCCATTCACCTTCCCAAAGCATTTGGCACTTCTTTACCCCTCCCAACAGCCAGGTGTTAACATCTGGCAGTTCGCTCCGCTTTTCACCAGATCAGGCCCAAGTTCCTTTGCCAGCCTGGGGCAGGTGAGACCTGCAGCACTACCTGAGATAAAACTTCAGTGAGCTGGTAATTGTCTTGATGTCCCAATCGCCACTTTGGAGATCCACATCCCCTGGACATTTTGGATCTGAGGGAAGAACAAAATGGCTTTAAAGTAAGGTCTGTCCTGAGGCTGTTAATAAATAGCACGCTCTCAGGAAGGGAACGCTTTTGAGACAAACGAAGCCACAGCAGCACAGTAAGAAAGCTGCTGATTCTCACGGCTGAAGAAGCAGAACAGCAGCACCAGTGTCGGTATTCTGGAAAGCCTGGGGAGCAGTGCTAAGTAAGGACACAGGAAGAAGTGTGAGGTAAACTTTAAGCAGTGGTGAAAAGTTAGTGAGGGAATATTTTCTACAGTTTGTTTTTTCCCCACCACAGCCAAGCCTGGCAGAATAAAACATTTCCACAGATCCAAGACAAGCTTTCTAGTATCCAAAATAACCTAAGTGTCCAGCTCTAATCCCTCCTTCACAGCTACCCCCCTGAAGGCTTTTCTGGAAACATGCCCTCTTGCTGCCTGGAGAGGAAGCAGCTTAGAGAAGGAGGCATGGAGGTACATGTGGCTCCTACCTACCCTCACCAAACAGCCACGTTTCTGTGATACGATGAAGGACATAGGTGGAGGATGGGGGTGGCTGGACTAAGGAAAAAAACTGCATGAGTCATTTTAAAAAGAAATAGGACTAAAGAGAAAAGAAATATCTATCTCCTTCCTGAAGCTCAGGATGAAAGCCTTCTACAGCAGTTACTTCTGTGGCATTGGACTTTCCATCCTGAGCTCGTACACAATGGGGTGGCAAGCGGTTAACCGGACCAATGCATATAAATGAAATGAAAAGCCACACACTGGTGGGGCTCAGAGGAGAAAACCACAAAGCTACTCACAGGGAGGGTGAGAATCAAGAAGCAGTAAAACCCCAGCCTTAAAGTAATTAGTCATCAGGCAAGCATAACCAAAAGCCATCTGAAATATGGCTCCATGGGAATCAGGCACAGCTATGCATCAGCACAAACCAGCAGTTTTAATAAACAACAACAATAGTAAAAGCAATTGTAAACAACAGTGAAAAACAATAGTTTACAGACTATATCAAAGTGAGATGTCTGTGCAGGGAGCTGGCATGAGCATGAGGAACACATATCAGTGTGAACCTGCTTTCTGTCCCATGCTCCAGCCCTGCGGGGCTCATGTAAGGGGGTCCCTGCCTGTCTGAGTCTATGGGAACCATGAGCAGGATGGTCTTAGCCAGATCCCAGCCCAGGAGCACCATGTCCCCACACACAGCAATGCTGCTGAGCCCCACAACCCGCTGCAGGGAGTTTAACCATCTCTGCCATAAAGAATACCCTCCAATCTACCCGCTTGTATGAAATACAGGACTCAGTGCACAGAAGGGCTTACAGCAGAAAGCCATACATTGCCTTAGTAACATGTACATGGCTTATGGTGAGATATCCCAGTCCTTCCAGGTGAAAACCTCAAACCACACGAAAGGCCTCTCTTCAGAGGCCACCATCCCAGCTCTCCAGAATACCCCATGGAGGAAAAGGCTCACCTGTGTCCCAGACCCGTGGAACATGGCAGCCCCCACAAACAGCCAGGCAAGCCCCCAACACTGCAGGAGGGGCAGCAGGGCACAGGGCAAGGGCCAGGGCTCGTTTCTCCTTGCCCAATGTCCTGCACCACAAGCCTGCAACAGGAATATGTCCCCAGCATGCAATTCCAAAATGCCTGGATATTTTTAGCACACGATGGAAGAAGGCTTATGATCATTGCTCCGGGGTCACTGTCTCCCTTTACCTTGCTGCTGCTGACTTAACTTTAAATGCAGGTTACACCACAAATAAATGCAGTTGCAACAAAAAGCCCAGAATAAAAGGGAAGGATGTGCCTTGAGGGGCCACAGGAACCAAAAACCACAGTGGGCATTTCTCACTATAAAACCCAATTGTCTCTGTCAATACAAAACGCAAACCCAGGACAATCTAGTTGTGCAGAATAATTAATCAATTCTTACCAAAAAAGGTGTTCAGCAACTTCTGCACCTGAATATTGCTGCCAACAGTTCGGTAGATGCCCTCTGTAGTAATTCCTAAGCAGGAGAAAGCCAGAGTGTTAGGAAGGGTCTTCCCCAGCTAGTGGGAAGTCCAAAGGCCCCATCTAGTGGAACTCCTGTCCTGGCTGTCGGGTGCTGGCTCAGCAGAACGCAGATACACCCTGAACTGCTCCAAGCTATTCCCCACACACTGCCCAATGGGGTGCTGTGGGCAGGATGCGGGGCACAGGCATTCATGCAGCAGGACTCAGACCTTCCGCCGGGACCACATCATGGTCAGGGGGGCCCAGCCAATGAGCAGAACACGGGCTTGAGCTGGCAAGTCCTACCTGCCAGAAGGTGCCACTTCTGGAGGGTGCTGCTTGACACAAACTTGTTCAAATTGTCACAAAAGGCAAACACATTTAAGCAGATTCTTTGGAAATGTGAGCCAATGTTAGGAAAGCCAGAAGTGCTGGATTTGCCTGGCTCTGAGAGGACGGTCTCATTGCCCTCTCTGAGAGGATTTGCCTGGCTCTGAGAGGACGGTCTCATCGCCCTGCTCCTCCCCACCTCAGCAGAGCTTGCCTGGTCACATTTCCCAAAGTTCTGGAGATTAAACCAGGCACCTTTCCCTGTGGCAGCCTGGACATCCAGTTGTTCTGGAGTGATCTTTGTCCTTCAGCCCATGCTGGCCATGTGTGCTGGTAGGGGTTTCTTTCATGAAAGACCACTGGTGAGCTCCCTGCTACTTTTAACAAAATGGGTCTGTATCCCAGGTATCCCCTGCCTGTGCCACAGTACAGGGATAATCCCAGAGCTATCCTGTTTTCTAAAGCCAAAGATAAGAGACCAACTAATGAAAACAGCATAAAGGTGGAAATCCAATCCTAACCAAATGTGGTACATTCTGGACCACACAGGATTTCTGCTCCTCTGGCAGGCATTCTTCAGCTAAAAGTCAGAGTCTCATTTCCTGGACTAACGCCACTACAACTGCTGAAAACACAAAACAACTCAAGGCCACAGGAAGCAATGCCAGGACAGCAGCATCCCCCGATGCCAGGGCGAGCAGCTTACCTTTTGTTTCCACAGCATTGATGCACTTCCGCACAAACTTGAAGCCGACCTCATTCAGCTCCACTGTTTCAAAGAAGGGAAGCAGCATTACCTGCCTGAACACCAGCATGGAAACCCCATGGAAAACTGCTGGGAAAGCCCCACCCCAGGATGCCATTCAGCACACAAAGCTCAGTGCCCCCACATGCAGCCAGGTTCACACACACATCTGCATCCCATGCATCCCTCCAGGAAAACACAGGCATTCTTTAAAACCTGACAAGGAATTATTAGTTCTGTACGTTGTCCAGTTTTCCTTGAACTCACTTTGAGCCACAGCACTGCTCCTTATCCTCTTTCTGTCTTTAATTATAAAAGCATAAATCAGAGTCCAGTCACATGTAAATTTGTGTCTGATAAGGAGCTGATGAATATGTCCAGAGTGCTGCAAAATCTGCAGTTAAAGCTCACCACATCATAGGATCATGTAATTTCTGCTTATCTGCTTGACTAGATTAAAAAGCAAAACCAGTACAGCTGGATAGACTGAGTAAAGCAGAACACTGGCTTTTATTCTGCCAATTAACCCCAGGCCGTCTTTGTGCCTGCCATGCAGGCATCATGAAGCATGTAGGAAGTCAGGATTTTTTTCTAGATGCAAATGTCAACTTCTGTAATCACACTACTACTTCTGCTGGTTTTGATGGGATATCCGGAAGGATTGTCCAAGCTATACTGTGAAATACCTTTCTGTTCGGTGCCAGCATTTATACTGAATTTCTCATAAATGACTATGCTGGTGGTGGTTTGAAATTCTGGGGGGTTGAGTTATTGGGGGGTAGGGGGGTGTTGGTCGGGTGGGTTTTCTTTTTTAATTGGTTTAACATAAAATAACATTTTACTGGAAGAAAAAGCCACGGGACACATCTGGACTAACTTCAGCACAGTTGTCACAGCACAGGCCACGCTGGCGAATCCTATGAAATCACTGTATTTTCAGCAAGATGTTTGTAACAGCTCTCTCTTCTACGACCAATGGTGATGAAAAGCTCTAACACAGGAATGAGTAAAGGCACCCTCAAGCACAGACCCACTTGGTACTTGATACTGAGTGGTATGACACAACTAAGGCAAGCATGGTAAGTCTTTCTAGTTCTAATCTATTAAAAATAGCGTATTTACTCTTGTGAAACACTGAGTCACATTCCTGCCAGGTGTGTAATGCAAAGTCAAACTACAGGTTGCATGCTTATGCTTCTGATAACTCTACCTCCATGCTCATTAAAGTCAGCTAATTAATGTGCTGCTAAAAGTAAGCTCTAATACACAGAACCCTAATGAAGCCCCAGTGTTTCCCATGGCAGCACATGCTCAGCCTTGCCAGGGCTGCGGCACAGTGGGCAGGGTGCACCCTGCTTGCAAAAGGAGACATATGGGATGTGGCAGTAGGATGGGGTGGGAGCTCGAGGGAACTGAATGACATCTCTAGTTTTCCATTATAGTATTTGCTAAAAGAAATAAGACATTAGGCAGAAGCTCTTCCCTGTGAGGGTGCTGAGGCGCTGGCACAGGGTGCCCAGAGAAGCTGTGGTTGCCCCATCCCTGGCAGTGTTCAAGGCCAGGCTGGACACAGGGGCTTGGAGCAAACTGCTCTAGTGGAAGGTGTCCCTGCTCGTGGGAGGGGTTGGGACTGGATGAGCTTTAAGGCCCCTACCAACCCAAACCATTCCATGATTTGGGATCGTCCTCAGAATCTCCTGCTGATCTTTTCTTCCCCTACATTACTTTGGGGTTTAGAGGTGCACACTGAACTCTGCATCCTGCTAGTTCTGGCTAAATAAAAACTGCACATTACAATCAATAATCGATATTGCTGCATGGAGACCTCATAGCAGCCTTCCAGTATCTGAAGGGGGCCTATAAGGATGCTGGGGATGGACTCTTCATTAGGGACTGTAGTGATAGGACAAGGGGTAATGGGTTAAAACTTAAACAGGGGAAGTTTAGATTGGATATAAGGAGGAAATTCTTTACTGTGAGGGTGATGAGGCACTGGAATGGGTTGCCCAGGGAGGTTGTGAATGCTCCATCTCTGGCAGTGTTCAAGGCCAGGTTGGACAGAGCAGCAGGGTGACATCACAGTATCACAGTATGCTAGAGATTGGAAGGGACCTCAAGAGATCATCTAGTCCAATACCCCTGCCGGAGCAGGAACACCTAGATAAGGTTACACAGGAACGTGTCCAGGTGGGTTTTGAATGTCTCCAGAGAAGGAGACTCCACAACCTCCCTGGGCAGCCTGGTCCAGTGTTCCGTCACCCTCACTGAGAAGAAGTTTCTTCTCAAGTTTAAGTGGAACCTCTTGTGTTCCAGTTTGTACCCATTGCCCCTTGTCCTTTCATTGTTTGCCACTGAGAAGAGCCTGGCTCCATCTTCGTGACACTCCCCCTTTATATATTTATATACACTAATAAGGTCACCCCTCAATCTCCTCTTCTCCAAACTATAGAGACCCAGCTCCCTCAGTCTTTCCTTCATAAGGGAGATGCTCCACTCCCTTAATCATCTTAGTTGCCCTGCGCTGGACTCTCTCCAGCAGGTCCCTGTCCTTCTTGAACTGAGGGGCCCAGAACTGGACACAATATTCCAGATGAGGTCTCACCAGGGCAGAGTAGAGGGGAAGGAGGACCTCTCTCGACCTACTAACCACCCCCCTTCTAATACACCCCAGGATGCCATTGGCCTTCCTGGCCACAAGGGCACAGTGTCGGCTCATGGTCACCCTGTCGTCCACCAGGACCCCCAGGTCCCTCTCCCCTACACTGCTCTCTAACAGGTCGTTCCCCAACCTATACTGGAACCTGGGGTTGTTCCTGCCCAGATGCAGGACCCTACACTTTTCCTTGTTATATTTCATCAAGTTATTCCCCGCCCAGCTCTCCAGCCTGTCCAGGTCTCTCTGGATGGCAGCACAGCCTTCTGGTGTGTCGGCCACTCCTCCCAGCTTAGTGTCATCAGCAAACTTGCTGATAGTACACTCAATTCCCTCATCTAAATCGTTGATGAATATATTAAATAATACTGGTCCCAGTACCGACCCTTGAGGCACTCCACTAGATACAGGCCTCCAACTAGACTCCACCCCATAGACTACAACTCTCTGGCTTCTCTCCTTCAGCCAGTTCACAGTCCACCTCACTACCCGATCATCCAGACCACACTTCCTCAATTTAGCTGCGAGGCTGCTGTGGGAGCCTGTGCCAAATACTTTGTTGAAGTCAAGGTAGACCACATCCACCGCTCTGCCATCATCCATCCACCGTGTTATTTCCTCATAAAAGGCTATGAGGTTGGTCAAGCATGACTTCCCCTTGGTGAAGCCATGTTGACTGCCCCTCATAAACCTCTTATCCTTGATATGCCTTAAGATGGCACCAAGGATAAGGTGTTCCATCACTTTCCCAGGGATGGAGGTGAACATGGTTTAGTGTGAGGTGTCCCTGCCCATGGCATGGGGCTGGAACCAGATGATCTTAAGGTCTTTTCCAACCCTAACTATTCTATGATTCTATGATAACTTTTACCATTTGCAACTCATTATTATCTGACCTCAGTATCAGACACTGCAATGGAAAGGAAAGGAGTTCCACAGAGGGAACACACAATCTGTTTAGTAGAAATTGAGGACGAGTTTATCTGCAGGAAAACCACTGCCCAACCTCCAGACAGCTTCAACAGGTTAGGGAACAGTAACAGAAATTACTCACTTTCTTCCTGTTTTGTGATGGGACTGTGGTAGATCTGAAAAGGGGGAGGGAAGGGAAGAGGAAGAAAAAAAACAAACATGCAATGTTAGTCAGTATTTATTTTCTAAAGAAAATACAGCATCCCATAAATCACCTGAAGCTGATCACAAACAGTAAGGCAACATCCCAAACAAATGACATTTTAGAATTAGGCAAGATACCATTATCTACACAATAAATTATTCTTTTCTGACTTTCTACATTTCACTGGAGCACCTGAACTGGAAATTTTGTCTTTCAGATGCCCTGTAAAGAGGGAAGCTGGACAGCATGGCACCCAGGGGTTGTGGGTTTTCTGTTTGTTTGCTTGCTTTTAGAAATTCAAGTGTCAAGACATCCCTTCATGCCATACAAAAATACATCTTGCATTAATAATAATAAACAGTGAGTGCCATTCTTGATAGAAAATCAAAAATCCTTTATATATAATAACACACTGTGCAAGCTGAATGAGTCCCAGACACCCTGAAGCGACTGACTGTCCAGCACCAGCATGCTGACCCTTCCCGCTCTCCCATGTCCTGCCATGTTTAAATGAGCAGGAGAAAAGTGCTGTGGAGTGTGCCCAAAGACAAGGGGAGCTGCCAGAAATGGTTTTCCCACACTGCACATCATGCTGCCCATTTAGAGGAAGACTGGTAAAGTGTGAAGCACTGTGCTTTGTTTAGATTGAGGGAAGGAAACACCAGTAGGCACAGAAAGGTGGTGAACATGGGGCAGGGTGGCTGCTTCCACCTTTCCAAACGCTGCTTACAGTGGGGACAGAAAAAGGTTGGACAGTGAGTTGTGAGCAACAGAAATACAGAGCACTCCTGACTTCATATGGCCATAGTATTTAGGCAGCCTGGTGCAGCCACAGTTGTACCAGAGCTTTAAAGGAGGAAAACCAAAATCCCCATTGCCAGCTGTGCCCAAAGAGCAGCACAATGCCATGTTTCAGATGTGCAGCGGCTGAACTAACGACTGAATTATGGGTACGTGGTAGCTGTACCACAGACCCTGCTGTTGAGCTGTCCCAGCTCTTCCCCAAAACCCGCCGGCAGAGGACACTGCTCGGCAGCGTATGGGCAGCAGCTCCTGGAACACTTACCGGCTCCTTCCCGTCCATGGCTTCCATCCACAGCCTTCGATTGGCTTCCGAGAGGGCCTGCAGTGTGATGGTCCCAGACCTGTGCAAAGTTCACCCAGGGAGAGGCAGGAAAATGAGGCAAAATTTGGTTTTAATAGACAGCAAGGAGCGATTTCATCCAGGTTTGCAAGGTTTGGAGGCCATTTGAACACTAAAGCACCTCACCTTTCATTAGTTTCAATGTCGAAACAAAACCTTTTGTCTATAGAGTCAGTCTTTCTCCTCACACAGGATTTCAGTGTCAGGTCTAAGGTGCCCTAGAAGAGAAAATGAGCGCTGAGGTCAGAGGAAAGAAACACAGGAGAAGATTTCAGGTTCCTCAGCACTTTTAGGTTGCAGCCTAACCCAGCACTGCCCACAGAGCACCAGGCACCCAGTGATGCCCTGCAATCCCATGGCACTGGTACCAGGAGCAGGGAAAGTCCTTCCCACCATCAATTGAGATTAAAGGCTCTGTAAGCCTGGCCTCCTCTCCTCAGCCACAAATTGTTCTAGATGTCACAGAACTCCTGCGAACAAGTGCTAAATATCTCAGCAATGAGCACTATGCTTCCACAGAGCAAGAACTCTACCGTGAACAAACCTCACCAGGTAGCCACTTGGTCTTTGAGGCCAGGACACTGCTTGTCTGCTGTCTGACACAGCTATGTCCTATTTTTCACCAGTGCTATCAGTTATCCATAGCATTCATGGTCCAGAGAGCTTTGCATGAAATACCTTGTAGGAAAGGAATGCTAACTGGCCAAATCTGAAGTAGGTGCACTCTGAAGAGAGACGGGTGCTGTGGGACTCAGCTCCATCCCATCGTATTCACGCCCCATACCCCATAGCAGAGTCACTGCAATGTGACCATGAGATCTCCATGACTTTGTAGGAGTCTGTGCAACCAAGCAGCCCCCAGGATGAGTGTGCAAGCCTGGAACGTGTTGATCACCCTGACCCTCACTGCTGCTGCTTCTGCAAGACCTCCAGCAGAAGTGGATCAGGCAGAGCACGGAGCAAGAACGGCCTCCTCCAAGATTACCAACAGTTTCATGCCGTGATGATAATCTCCTGGCTGTACTTTGTGTTGGTTGTTTGGTGTTTTTAAGAGAACTGCCTGTAATCACAGCATTTAAAGCTGTGTGGCCAAAGGTGCAGATTTCCAGATTACAAGAGTCTGAGAAAGGGACTAATTTACATTTTTACAAGCCCCTACTTTCATTAATTTGCCCTACCAGACATGTTTATGACAGAGATGAGAACAGATCCCCTCAGTCAATAGTTTGGATGTTTCTTTGCCAAGGTCTCTGCCAAGGGCTTCCAAAAAATACATTTTATTTTATTGCTGCAGCATGCAGAGGGCTGGCAAAGAACAGACCATGAGATCACAAACTGGAGAACAGCACGCCTGACTGGGAGTCCCCAGGGGATGTTACTCCAAGGCAGAGGGGGCGGGTGGACTCAGCTGGATGCACTTGCTGTGCTCCGTCATCTGTGCCTGCATCCTACCCCTGCTCTGTCATGCTGAGGAACTGCAGGGAACTCCCAGACACAGTGGTAAAATCCAAAGCATTTTGCCCAAGAAGCCATTCCCAGATCCCCAGATTCCCCAGCCATTCCCCTTACTGCAGTTTAGAGCTGCAATGCTGCCCTCTCCTACTCTCCTAACGCTGGTCCCACTCCCATGTAACCAGTTCCAAGAATAGAAAATCACAAACCAGTGACTGTGCCAACATGCAAAGGCAGAGAAATACCTCTTTTGGAAGCATTCATCTAATAACTTGAGAGATTCAAGTACTTGCAATTACTGCCAGAGGGCTACGTGCAAACCAGGCTGCAGGTTCACTGCCCATGTGCATGGATAAATATAAAAATTACCTTGTCTGGAAAGGCAGAAATTTCACACTAGACCAATTTGCAAGCCACCACTGTCCAAATAATGCTCATGTTAGACAAACCTGCATCTTCGCTGCCAAACCCTGCAGGGCTTCAGGCTAATTTTGGGAGAGAGCGAGGTGAAACTTCTCTTCACAGAGGTGTCTTTCAGGTTGCACCAACCCCCCTGCCTGTGTGACCAGGCAGGAAGGAGACATGATGCTCTACTCCATGGCCAGGAGCCCTTCCACAGCTGCAGGCTCAGGACCCAACCCACTGGTGCTGCCAGACAACTGCTCTGACAGCAGGGCTGGCCTGTACTGCTCTGGACATGGCACATGTTCACCTGTTTGCTTATGGAAAGAGATGATGTGGGCAGACTGAAGGTGAGACCTGATGGCTAGGTCAGTGTTTGCAGACATCCGTCCAAGAAACCAACTCACTTGCTTAGCTCCAGGCTTCTGGTCCATGGGTGTCATCCGTAAGGTTTTTGCCTCTTTCTCGTACTGGCAGTAATATTTCACCCAGGAGATGCCCAGCGCCCCTGCAGAAACACACAGGAACCTGGAGTCAGAGACAGTGCCTCAGCTGGATGCAGCCAGCAAGGCATGGCCCACATTACCCACATGTCCACACTTCTCTGGGACCAGACACTGCTGGCCCCATGGGGACAACTCCCTTGCCAGCATCTCCACTGGGAAAAGCCAGGAGTAGCAGCAGGAGGAGTGAGGCTGCAGCTGCCTCCAGTGGCCTCCCAAAATGCCGCTGGTGAAAGCGCATTTGCGGTACTTTGGTTGGAAGCCAAGCTGGTTTGGCCAAGTCCAGCCAAGACTGGCAGGATCCTGTGTGGCTAGAATGCTTGCTTCACACAGACACCACTAGTTTTTCCTGTTGATGAAAACTTGGTAGTGAAAACAACAGCCTCTTTAAAACACTGTAGCTTAGTTCCTACGTATATCATGCTAGATTTATCAACACTTTTCTTTGTTGTCATGCCTAAACCCCTTTATATGAAATACTTCAAATAGCATTTTTTTCTGCGATTTGTTTTTAACTTGCAGTTGTCAGGAGGAACAACTGTCTTCCTATTCAATTTCTAGCTGAAACATAAATAGAGACAGCAAACAGCATTCAGGAAAATGTAACATCTGTGGTCTAAAATTACTGTCTGTGTGTCTTCTTTTAAAAGCAGGATAAACATACATATGAACATCGTATAAATGCTTTTGTATCAATAATCCAAAAATTAACTGTGCGCTAAGTAAGCTGTTTGTGGACCCAGAGGCTACAGCTCTGCACAAAGGTTTTTGTCCCCTGCGCTTGCATGGCCATGGAAAGCTACAGCAAGCAATCGCAAAAGACTGAATTTGGTTTGATTTGATACTGCTCAGCATGGCAACAAGTTTCTCTCTCAGCAGTTTTAACTGTGAGCGCTGGTTAATGCTTCAGTCGTGCTCAGATGCCCTCAGAGACAGGTCAAGAGGGAAGCTGTGCAGAACGCCAGATTTGTCTGATAAAATGCAGCCAAGGCACAACCTGCCAGTGCTCTGGTCTGCCCAGCAGTACAACAGAGTAATAAATCTCATCCAATTTGAGGGCAGGGCAATTAGCTCCTTGCTTGCATGGCTCATGAAACCCAGAGAAAGCTCTGTGCCACTGCTGAGAAAGCTGGCAGCTGAAGCTGCTGGTGATTCCCTGTGCACTGTCAGTCAGTGACACTCCATGCAGCATCACTCACAGCGCTGCCATGACTAAATTGGCCTGGACACAGCAGCCGAGTGCAGCCACACCATGGGGCCATGAGCACAGAAGCCCAGGCTACTATGTGTTTTAACACATTCATGTGCATCTAAAAGACATTACATTTCTCTTGAGTGTACAGGTAGCCCTCAATGGTTGGCTGCCCAGGTAGCTTGCAGGTTAGGGGGGCTTCCTTCATCCTCTTCTTCAGGTCTTCCAGTTCCTCCCGTGTGCTGGTAAAATGATTCCTTGTCTGTTGAGAGAAAACAAAACCAAGCGCATTTGAACATAAGCAAGGAGAAAGCTTGAGGTATTCCTGATCAAACTTTTAAGTGCTTTGGCAGAAATGAATCAGTTCTCAATGTAATAAATGGGGAATATTATATATCCACATGAAAACTCCAGCTATAAAAACAAGTGGGCTCTCAAAGATGATTGAAGAGACATGCTTTAACATACCACGGGTGGAAATGGTGAGGAGTCATGTCTGGGAGAGACACTCGTTCCTTCAATAAAAGAAAGTCAGCACATTTTAAGGCTAGGTGGAGCAGAAGGAAGCACCTGAACTACTCTTTGCACCATTGTTTAGGTAATGGGTGTATTCTTCTACAAAACTTTCTCAAAAGATCATGCTACACTGCTTGGTATGAGAGTCATTTTTAAAGAGTCATGTCAGCACAGGGTACAAAATCAAGGTATTTTTATGGAACATCACTTACACCAAATAATGAGCTACCAGCAAACTCAGCTTGCCACAGATTTATGGCTGTTGTTCCATGGGAATGTGGGCCAACCATGAAAGATGGAGTATTAACAAAGCAGGACATAGATATTTTACCCCATGAGTATACTTAGCCAGCAGAGGAGCTTACCAAAGCATGTAGTAAGTACATACCATAAAGATCAAGACCGGAGGCCTTTTTAGAAGATGTGTACCATTTCTCATGAAGTTGGGAGAAATTCTGAGGCTTTTTTATGCACAACATTAAACGACATAATTGCAATTGCCCCTTTTAGACAAAGAGAGCCACTATAACAGCACCTGCAGACTTTCTCATGTAGAAGAGGAGAAAATACACGTGAACTGAGAAGGAAATAACTTTATCTGCACCTCCTACAATGCAAACATGAACAGTCTGTTTTGCAGGGAAAAGCCTTGCCAGGAGAGGTATTTAAATACAAATGAGAACAGAAGACACATGTGAAAAATACTTGAGCTGGGCAGGAACTCACATTCTGCAGGCTGAGCTGAAGCTGCTGTTTATAAGGGAGGAAATCCTGCGTGAGCTCAACTGTCAGGTTGTTGTAAGTAAAGAGGCTGTGGAGAAAAGCCAACACCTGGAAAAGGAGGGAGAGGACACAGATTAAACTCCTCTTCTATATTTCTAACCAGAGGGAAAATAGACATAAAGTGAGGTTTCAGAAATTACATATACAAATTATATTTTTTTTTTCTTACAATGTTGAAATGATGCAAGTCTTATTATGACTTATCCACCACAGTGTCCCTAAAGCCCAGGTCTACCACCCACACATCTGCCTTAATACAACACGCCCAAAATGAAAGACCCTGCTGGGAGAACAAGAGCAGATCTGCAGATTGCTCATCCACAAGATCTACACGATCCCACGTTCAAGCACATCCAGCTCCAGGGCAGAGCCACTCGTCCAGGGCAGGGTCCCTGTACACAGACATGAGCTGGTACCTCTGCAGCCTGTGCTGTGACATGTAAGCAGACCAGATAACAACCCTCTTCCTTCAAAGGCAGCTAAGACTTATCAAACACAAGGTGTCCAGGACAATTCATAACAAGACCTACAGCATCCAGCCTGTTCTCAGGATCAACTTACATGAGAAATAAGTCTGTGGTTTCATGGTACTCTGGCAAGCACTACTAAGGCTGTTAAACTGCAGCAGTCCAAGTGTGCAAGGTTAACTCCATCACAAGACTTCCCAGGACCAAATCCAGCCTGGTAACTCATCCCTTCCTCTGACTGTCAGCAAATTAGCACATTTGAGCATCAAACAACAAGGCCAGGAAGAAAAGGGAGCTCCTACCGGTTCAACAATACTGAATTTCTTGCTTTCCTGTACTTCCTGGATCTGGTACACATACTCAAGGGAAGACTCAAAGAAATTGTGTCTCTCTTTGTCAACCTGAAGGTCAGCCTGGAAGAAAGAGGGAGACGAGGAAAAAGAAAATACATCACATCTAGCTTGACAATATTTGACTAGCATGTCTTGACAGCCCACAAATAGTCCTGTCTTTGCTTAAGAAAGGCCTATGAAAAGTGTCCAGCTCAGGCTTTGAGCATTTGGCACTGAACCAGATGACTGGAACACTGGCCGTTCTTCTCAGGTCTGCCCTTTTCTAGCTCCCTTTCACATATGGATCCAGAAACTCCCTCCACTCTGCAAGGCTTTCCCAAAGCCTATTTGTTGTTTCAGCGTAAGCTCTGTTTCTACCCACAGCCCTGCATTATGAGGACAAGCCCACTGTCATGATCCTGTTGCCCGACTCCAGCTGCAACCCCAAACCAGCAATTCCAGAGCTGCAGAACCAGGTAGGACAACGCAGCACTGCTGTGTTACCACAACAACTTCCACAGATTTTGCCTTGCAAAGATGCTTGATCTGACAACTGGTTTGACAGATTTGATTTGATCCAGCTCCTCTGATGTGGGCTGGAGCAGCTGGAGCTTGTTGCAACATGCTTGGCAGCAGCAGGGCTGGAAGGGGCACCTCCTCCTCTGCCTGCTGCTCATGCCCACTGTGGTCCTGCTGCCACAGCTATCCCTGCAAACACAGGAGCTAGGTAGGAAGCTGTGCTGGCAAAAACAATAGTAATAACCAGTTCTTTTTCAGCCAGATCAGTTCCCTGAGCCAGGTGAAAGGGAGGCCAGTCCCCAGAGGTGCCAGTGTAACTGGCCCTGTACCATAAGGGTGAGAAGCTCTGACAGTGTATAAAGCCATTGCTACTGTTCAACACACTAAGGAGAACTATGATACTGATTTTCCTGGTTTCATCCAGAGAATCTAGGCTTTAGTAGATTTAAGTACATATCAATTTTAATCAGTTACTGAAAGGGATAACTTTTCTCCCTTTTTTAAGATCTAAAGCAGCTGGTGATGTTGCTTCTGGACTCACTCTGAAGAAAACCCCATACATACCTCCTGCAATTGGGATTCCTTCTTTTTCGAAGACAGATGCAAATGGCGATCCAGCATAGAATAAAACTTCTCACCATCCTTCTCAAACTTTTTCTTTCTTTCCTGCAGGAGTTGAAGCAGAACCAGTTATTGGCATTTTCCAGATAAGAACATGCAACAAGGCCAAGATCTGTTGTACAGTTCAGTATTCCCATGGAAAAACTCTAGTCAACACAACCAGAACAGATGGCCCCTTTCCAATTGCTCTGATTTCACAGTCCATTCTAGTTCCAAGTAAAGACCAAGCTCTGGCAATATTTTGTGGCACAGGCACCTGAAGTATTTTGTCATATTAGAATCATGGTGAAAGCCCCATCGATGAGGTATTGCACCCCCTCTCAATCTCTTCAATGTCAAGTAAAACTGTGACATACAAATACATCAAAAACCTATTCACCATTTGTTCACATAGTTCAGAAACAACTGGGCAGATACTTTAATGTCAAAGACACGTCTGGGATAAGATTTGTTAGGGGTTTGGCAGTTTTCTGTTTTGAGGCTTTTGCTGTGTGTTTCTGAGAAGTATTAGAACAAAAGCAGAAAACTGGAAGCACAAGATGTGGGAGGGAAGTCATCATCTCTGTTTCAGTGGTGGTGGAAGGAGAGATCACAAACCTTGCAGGCAAAACTTACACAAGTTTTACTGCAGAGCGCCCAGCCTGAATATGACCCAGAGGAACACTGTCTAAAACACAGATGGTTTACAACACACACCAAGAAGACCTCACCTCTTGGAGGTCCCCTGTGGATGGTCTGGTTCTTTCCGACCTACTATACATCTCAGACATGCCTACCACAGGCATGCAAACATGAAGCACAGACTGATTTGTGAAGAAAAAAAGACTTTTTGAAGGAATCACTGTAACAGAAAGAGCTGTTTGCACTGGAAAACCTGAAAGAGTTAATGTCTCTTTTTTTCTCATTCTAGACATTAAAGAATAAAACTCCACGAGAACTCAGGGAGATGACAAGCTGAGGACCAGGCTCTTTGCTTATGCCTTACAATAAGTGTGAAGCCACAGAGGACTGTGGCAGTCAAGAAATGATGATTAGAAGCTAGGCTGACAGATATTCACATCAGATGTTAACAGACATCAGTGACTGCTGAGAGGCAGTTAAATTGCTAAAAGACAATTCCAGCCTGGCAGCAGCCTCAGTGCCAGGTCCAAACAGCTGAGCACTGGTGTATGCACACTACGGAGTATGTACAGGATGCCCAGATTCTTTGTCTAGTTTCTGAAAGCTCAAGAAAGTGGAAAGTGAAGTAAGAGAATCTCAGACTCCTGTGGAATTAATGATATCTTTCAACAACTATCCCGTAAGACCCCTGAAATGCTGTTCTCTTGCCTCCATTCAGAAATCCATGAATAAGCAAACACACACCAACGCCACCACAAAACAGAGCAGATGGACTCTGCCAGACTGGCCAATGTGCTATTTCCTCATGAGATCAGCAGCAACTGCAAATTTTGAAGCTGTGTTTCCTAAATAAAGTCCTTTCTCTTTAGTTGGTTCTCCTGCTATGAAGTTTTGCTTCCCCATTCCAGCCTGTCTAATGGGGTGCCCTACACAGCAGGATGCCTGAGGGTTCCCAAGCTGGTACTTTAGATAGCCATGGTTAGCCCCTGCCTGACAGTCTCCCTTCTTCTTGGCCCTTGCTCACAGCAGCTACTAATGCATTGCCTCTGGAAGAAGAAAGGTTATGTTCTGGTGGGCGCACAGGGAGACACTCATAGGTTATTTACTGGAACACATGAAGCTCTTACAGGTCCCCTCCTTACACACTGTCAGTAACACAGGCTCTCATGTTCCTTGGCCTTTATGCAAGGAGAAGCTCCCCATCAGCACCCAGACTCATGCTAGTGGACACTGGTTCCTTATAGGGACCGCGGACAAAGGGCGGACAAGCTGCCTTCCTACAAAAAGGATTTCTCACCCCACAAGAGTCCTGTTTCTCTAATCCTTGCACATTGCTATTGGGAAAGCACAGTTACCATGGAAAAATGCAGAAGAGACACAAACTCGAATATCCCTGCTTATATTTAACTGGCTTAGACCAGCAAGCCCTTATACCCCAGTAATTACACCTACTGCCCTACAGAGACCCTGTAGTTACAGGACCTTTGAAGGGAAGTATGTCTTCTGATATCATCCTCTTCAATATCACGGATACGAGAAATCTGTATTAGCAAATTCATGTTTCAGAATAAAAAGGAGATCCACATGAAATCCAGAGGAGCAGAGAGACCTCCGAGGGTGAAACCTAAATTAAGCAGCACTGCAGCTGCAGAGCCGATGCCAGGACAGACTGTCAAAACAAAACACCACCCTTGTGACTAACACCCCTGATAAGAAAATCCAAACTCGGAATCAAAAGCATTTGAGAAGCAGCGGTTATCATGCCCATAAGGTCACACTCCTGGATTGTTTGCCTGTGCCATTAGATGCCACATCTAAGGCAGTCAGGACCCTAGGCTTGTTTTCATTTCTGTAAATGAGGAGTCACCAAACCTCAAGGCCACAGAGCGGGAGTGAAACACAGCTGCAGCCCACACCTCTCCTGCTTCTGGCTTCTTGCATCTCAGAGAGGGCTATGCCAGCAGCAGGTCGCACAATCCCCCAGTGAGGGAAATCTGGCTTGAACCCAACCAACAAGGGCTCATCTCTCTCCACAGGGGTGGACACAGAGGTGGCAAGGGACAGTGCCAGCCACATTCCTTGGGGGAGCCTGCAGGATGACATGGCCCATTCTCCAGCAGAGGATTATCTCTGCAGTGGAAAAGGAAGAAAATGCCTGGGCAAGCAATGGAAGAGTTTTTACTACAGCAGAAACCCAGAGGCCAGCAGCAAATCCTTAAGAGAGTGCCACCTCCTCTGCCAGCGCCTGCTGTGGAGCACTAAGCCCCCCCTGGGGATCAAAGGGATTGGGAATGACATCTGAGATGGACATCAGTGCGTGAAACACGGCTTGCTCCTGCAGAACTGCTGTCATACGGAAACAAACACAGTGCAGAACACCATTTTTGGCCACCAAGGGAGTTTGCCAATCATTTCCCACTCGGGCTAATTGACATAGAACTGAAAAGCAGAAGGATGAACTACAAATCCTTCCTGATTGTCAAGCCAAGGCTTCTAACAGCTTGTTGGCTGCTGAACAGAGCAAGCTGAGACAAAAAAAAAAAAAAAAACAACAAAAAACAAACACAAAAAACCACCCAGACTGGAAACAGGAGCATAAATTAATTCCTCATGAATATTCAGCAAAGACAGCATTACCTTCCCATTACGATTTGCCAAGTTCAAGAGCCACCCAGCTCACCGAGAGACACCGAGGTGATTTCATCTGGGTGCAGGCAGAGCCACACACCAGTGAAGGAGGGTGCTCTTCAAAAGCTCTGCTCTCCAAGCTTCAGCAGATGCTGCTTTAACCAGAACTGAGCAGGAGTCCTTGGGAAAGCACAGCGGCCCAGCCCAGCACCTGATGCATTGGAAGCATTGGCTCACTCTGCCTGTGAGGGGTCCTGCGCTGCACACTAGCTGCTGCTGACAGGAGCAGGGCTAAGCTGGAGTCCCTCAGCAGTGACTCAGACCCAGCTTGAGCAAGAGATGGAGAATCCAAAGCCTACAGGGGAAAAGGGGCAAACGGACTTGCCAAAGCTCTCCCTTAAGCATTAGTTGCTAACCAGCATCTTCTGAAATGCCCATCCTAGAAGAGGCAGTGAGTTGCAAGTGAGGAGCTCAGCTCACATGGCTGCTTCTCTTTAAGAAAAATAAAACAAAACAAAATAAAACACACTTTACTTGCTGGGAGCCTCCACCTTGGAGCACACCTGCAGGAGCTTCAAAGGAGAATCAGCACCCAGCAGGATGTGCAGCCAGCCATCAACAGGAGATGGATTCATAGCAGCCTTCCTGTATCTGAAGGGGGCCTACAAGGATGCTGGGGAGGGACTCTTCGTTAGGGACTGTAGTGACACGACAAGGAGTAACAGGTTAAAACTTAAGTAGTGGGTTAAAACTTAAACAGGGGAAGTTCAGGTTAGATATAAGGAAGAAGTTCTTTACAGTAAGGGTGGTGAGGCACTGGAATGGGTTGCCAAAGGAAGTTCTGAATGCTCCATTCTTGGCAGTGTTCAAGGCCAGGCTGGACAGAGCCTTGTGTGACATGGTTTAGTGTGTGGTGTCGCTCGCCATGGCAAGGAGGTTGGAACTAGAGGATCTTAAGGTCCTTTCAAACCCTATCTATGACTATATGATTCTATGATTTTACGATTCTATGATTCTAGGGGCATGCAGCCAATGCCGGGTGCTTCCAGGCTCCCCACTGCCTTTCTCTTCCCGCACATACCTGGCCCTGCTGCCTCCTCCAAGCAAAGCTGCAACATGGCTCCAAGCAGAGCCTGGGCAACTGCAAGTTGAAAGCCTGTAAATATTAAATGCATCTGTTTTCACTGCATTTCCCACTCCCTTTTGATGAAAGCAACAATACTGCTGAAATTGCTGCAAAGCTACTGCGCTCACAACACAGGTGCCCAGTAACAAACGGTGATGTGATCACTGTCACTTGATAAAGAAGACAGCACTGAAAAAATTCAGACCCCAAATCACCTTGAGGAAATGGCAAGCTGTGGCTGGAAAGGAACTGAAGGCACAAAACAGGAGGCAGGTTCTGTTTCAACTGAATGGCAGCCTCATCTGGCAACCAGCAGAGGGATAAATGGGAAAAAGAGAAACATGTTCACACAGAAAAAAATGCTTCATGCTTGAGTTTCACTAACTTGTATAAAGCATCAGCATTTATACAGAAAAAAAAGGTAATTTATAAAAGAAAAATGATGTTGAAGGTTGTAGAAAGAGCATTTCTGTAAAACTACACTCAGTCTAACCTGGTCTCTTTCCCTCACCCACTGTGTTCTCTCAAATGCTCCTTAGATCTTACTGTCACAGAGATGAAAGCAAGTAGAAGTTACTGTCCTTCCTTTCTTTTAAAAGTATTCTTAATGTAATAACAGAATTAACTAAGTGCTTTAGGAATACGTGTTACCTGCTTTGTAAGAACTTTTGAGAAATTCTGCATTTATTCAGCATCCCAGGACATAGTAAACGTTCCTCCCACAGCTTAAAATGAGTCCAAACAACTTTTCCCCCTCTGGCTTTTTTGTTTTGCTTTGTGTTTTCATTTTTGTTTTGGTTTTCTTCTTAAAAAAAAAAAACCCAAAGAAAAACCAAACAAACAACTTTCTCCTTCCAAGTGGAATTGGAACAAAACTTTTCCTATACAAATCCTACTAAACGTAATGACTGCAGCAAGGCTCTTAACAACAGCCCCCCAGTCCCAGAGCAGGGCTCGCCCACAGTGTGAGCCAAAAGCCAAGGGCGTTGCTGGGAAGGACAGGCACCTCCTTGTGCGAGGCCTTGTCCTGTGTGAGGGCAAGCAGAGACTTCCTCAGGCTGCTGCAAGGCTGCAAAGCACACACTGCTCTGCCTCATGGCTCTGTAGATCAAGAGAAACGTGAATCATTTAGAGCTTCAGGCCACAACTGGTCCAACCATCCTGCTTTGCTTTCCCATTATCAGCAGGCACATCCCTCTAATTACCCCCTGTTAATCAAGAACTCCACCAGCCCATGTGTTACTCTGCTCCTTTTCAAACCTGACGGTCAGTCATGGCTTCACCAAGCACACCTGGGTCTCAGATTTCTTCTGTCGAAGAGATGGCACAAAATCCGCAGGGTCCTTAGACTACATGGACCAAGCACACAATCAAACCTCTATGAATATGATCTAACATGAAAGGAAGACAGACCACCCCACATGCTCAGACCCCCAGCCTGTGCCCTTCCAAGTGCTTACAGCAGCCTCAATTACACTGGTTCCTTTCCCCTCCCACCAAATCAGCACCTCACCCCCAGCCATGAACTCGTACCAGCCCTGCAGCTTCCAGGCAGAGCAAGGTGCCAGTGCCAGGGCTGAGAAATGGGTCGGCTCAGGCAAGCCAGGATCCTCCACTTTTCTCCTTGATGTCCACACATACAAACATTTACCGACAAGTCAAGGGAAGTGCAATGATCCCATAGGTCTGGGGTTAGCAAGAGAAAGTGGCTGGAGGGGGGGCAGCTGCGGTGGGTCCCAGTGACACCCAGGGGCTCCCCTGTGTGGGAGCACACCATCTGAGTGAGGAGATTCCATTCAGCCCCAGGAAAACAGGTTAATGCAGACTCAGATGTCTTAGTCAGACTGACTGGCTGCTCTCCAGCCAGAGTCACCACAAAGCCCCAATTCAAAGGCTCTTCCTATCTGGCTTCAGCATCTTGCAAAGAGAACAGAAAACATCTCATAGAAGCCGGCTCTGCCAAAAGCTGGGAAATGAAGCAGAGGGCACAAATTCTCTGTGTCATGTCTCTGGGCTGCTCCACAGCCTGGCCCTGGCCTCTCTCCCCTGGTGTAAATCAGGAAGGATCACAGGGTGATGCCAGTTAGTAGAGGCACAGCAGCAATGGAGAGGGACCCCCTCACTGACAGAGCACCATTGTGAGGAGTCCTCATTTGTATTTCATGCCTTCTGCAGACGGATGTGAATGACCCGGAGCAGCTCTGCAGGCTGGCAAGTGAAGGAGGGCTTTGTGCCTAAGGTGATATTCAGTGTCCGCAGCCCAGTGGTGCAGTGTGAGCTCCTCTCAGAAAGCCTCAGAGGTGATGGCAAGGGTCTGGAGCAGGGTGGGGCTTGCTCCGAACCTCAGACCCGCTCCAGGCTGCAGAGTGGTGTCAGAGAAAGCACTATCTTCCCGTGCATCCCCTGTCAGTGTGGACACAATCTGCAACACAGCAGGATGCAACATGCCCTGCTGCAAGCTCCTGTGTGCAAGCACTTCTGCTGAGCCACACAGAGCCCGCTGAGGTGCCCCTGACACCTCTGCAGTTTGTGCTCCTCATCACAAACAAAATCCAAAGCCAAACCATAAAGACCTCTAAGCCACCTGCAATGAATCCTTACTTTCTGCAGCCTCTTAACTGCTTCTGAACATCATTCTGCCACTGCCTGCTGCCTCCACCTGGGATACCTGCCCCACCAGCAGGGACTGAGAAGGGCTGCAAGCTGCCAGGTAAATCTGTGTCAGTGCTTGGAGCTCCCTGATGCCTGGACTGTGGCACCAACCAGGCACCAGCCAGCTCCAGCGCAGGAGGCACGCTATGGGACCCATGGCTAGGAGGTGGCATGTGGCACAGCTCTCAGAGCAGAGCACGCTCCGACCTGTAGACAAAGTAATCCTTACACACCTGAAGAGCTACCCAAGAAGAAAACAGCCTAAAGGACGCTTTAATACTGTAATCTTAACATTAGCAGACCGTTGCCCTCTTGACTTAAGTGTTCCATAAACACAGAGGAGAAAATCAGCTTGACCTTGTCCCCATGACTCCTTCCCCATGACACTTTTCTAAACATGCGCTGGCTCTATGGTTAATACAGGCAAATCCATCAGGAGGAAGTTTCCTCTCAGCCCTGGGCACATCCACACGCTTGTAACACCAAGGGCTGTTGCAAAACCCACTGGTGAGGAGGCTTCACCCCCATGCCTGTTCACCAGCACAAGATCAACAGCCATGGCGCTGCCTTCACCATGCTCACACTGCTGTGGCTGCTCAGAGGCGTTCTGCACACATGGTTGTACTGGGGGATTCTGAAGGGTAGGACGGTGATCAAGTATCTGCTCAAATCCTGTATTTATTAAACGTCACAGACTCCAGATGGGCTGGGTGGAATCCAAGCCCCAAGTGTTCTCCAAAACATCTCCATTTCTGAGCTGGTTCAGAGCCAGCCCCATTTCAAGCTGCCACTGAGTAACGTGGAACCTGGACTTCTCGAGAGTGGACAAGGGAAAAATACTTCCTGCTCAACTTGTGCAGGATTTGCTCTCTATAGTGTGTTTCTTTAAAAGTTTGGTCCATCTGAAAGACTCGTTAGATGCTTTACATAAATATTTCATAACAAAAGCCCTGTGACTGTAGTGAAGTTCTGCCTGCCAAACTCTGCTGCTCTCTCCCTCTCCTGCTCTAACACTCACTTAGCTGAAGAAAGTGTTTTATTCTCAGTAGCACAGAATGGACAAAGGAGAGAGGAGAGAAAGAAACAAGGAAAACCTCCTGCTCACTGGTTGTAACAAGCACTCCTTGCTCAGGATGGAGAAAGTGCTGGAATTAGGCCAGAAGAGAACCCAAAGAATTCAGGAAAAGGTTTTGGAGCCTCTTATGATTGAAAAATCAGACTAAAAGTCACAGCACAGCCTCTCTTGTGCCAGCAGCTGAAAGCCAGCATTAAATAGGGAAGCTTCTGAAAGCATGAAGTTGAAACATTGTACAATGATTGTTTAACCTTCAACAGCAACAACAAAAGGTAGAAAAAAAAAATGCCTTAAAATATAGTAACAGAAAACAAGTATGTTTAAATTTAAAACAAACAAGCTTTACCTTGGTGAACCCTATTTGTTCCTTCCGAAAGTTTTCCAAAGGTTTGATCAGCAAATCGCTAGCGTTCTGTACCTACGGCACAAAGAAACAGTTTAACCGCAAGATACAGATTTTCTCCTGAATAGAGGCTGAATAGGGTTAGAAGCCAAGAACTCTTATATTTCAATGTCTCTGACTGCAAATTAATCCTCTGTCCGTAGGTGAAGCTGCTTAACCACCCATACCGACTTTTCCCCATCTGTAATACACAGAAAACCCCAATCACAGCACACAAAGCTTTGGGGACACCCTGTAGATGACATGGGTTTCCCCCAGCCCACCACCTTCCCTGCACAGTGAGCCACTGCCCTCTGCCTGGAATGCTGCATTGCTGCCACCAAACCCCAAGCACCAGCCTGCTGGAGCAGCAGCCCTCCAGGACACCAATTCCACTATCCTGTCTGTGCCAAGGCAGGCTTTGCTCCTGCTGGCCTCTCCAGCCTCAGCATAACGTTAGGCTTGCCCCTCACAGGCTACAGCACTGTCACTGCACAGCCCTGGCCACTCAGCCCAGCCCTGCATCGCTGGCATGCTGGAGCGAGCTCCCAGGGCAGCACAGCCTGTGTGGCCCCTGTAACACATGCTGCATCAGGCAGGATGATCCCGATCCCATTGGTAACAGCACTTGCCAGCCATCCCATTCTAAGAGAATCACTGTCCCTGTCTGACACAGGAAGTTATGTTCCACTAGCACTAGCAGCAGCCCCAGGGGGCAAGGCTGTTTGCTTATCTCTCTGAGAAGCACAAACCAGAACCAAATATATTCTCAAAGCCCACTGGGGACTGCTACTTACTTGTCAGCTCAGTTGGGTCCCTGCCTGCAGTGAGCTGCTCTGTCTGCTCGAATGGCAGGGAAGGGAGCAGAGAAGATGTGCTCCTGCAGCTCCTTCCCCTCTGCCACTGCTGCTGGCCCCTCTGCTCCAGACATCCCAGCCACACTCCCTCCTGCCACCTGGGCACAGTATCATACTAGCCGTGACTTCCACCACACATCCATCCTTGTCTTTAATGTAAAGCCGTGACGGGTAAGATCTGAGAGACAGGGATGTGTGGAGTCACTAGCATCTCCCAGAGAACACAGCAGATGTTCGTGCTGGTGAGTGCAATGCCAGAAAGTGGCTGCTGCAGCATTGAAAGGAGCTTTTTTTCAATGCAAAACATCCCGTAAGAGCTCAGCAAGGCTGCAATGGGTAGGAGCTGCTTCTCAGAGAAGGTGAGAGGAATAACCCAATCTCACATGAGCAGAAGGCAGGACTGGGGATGGCTCCCTGCCACGGCTTTCTCACGGCGTGGCACTTCTCACCACAGACAGCACTAGGCTTGATGGCTCTGACAACATGGCTCTCAAATAAATGATGGACTTTCCTTCTCCTTAAATCCAGCCAGAAGAGGAATGACAGCTGGTTACCTGTCACAGCAGGACAGTAACGATAACAGCTAGGGAAAAAGAAGAGCCTGTACATGGCTCTTCCAGTCTTGCCAGATGTCTGAAAGATGCTTTCCTGGGACATGCTCTGCACTGCCTCTCCATGAAGCCAGAGGCAAATTCACCCCACTCTGCACTACTGAATCCAGCTCCACCCTGCCAGTGGAACACAACCTGCTGCCTCTTCCTGTCCCCACTTGTGCTGTGACAGGCTCTCTCCCCAGCTCCAGAGAAGGGAGAGGGGAGAGAAGGGGATATGACGCTACACTGCCACAGCTCTTTCAGGTAATCTAAAGCTGATGAACATGGAGAAAGCATGAAACCTTCTGAGCGAGCTACTGTTAATAACTGATCCTTCAAGCACAGCAGGGGAAAAGAAATAGTAAAAATTTAGAGGAGCTGGAGAGGATCCCTAAAAGCATCCATGATCCCTGAAATGATCCCCTCCACCCACTTACCCACTGCCAAAGGAGCCGTTGTACCTGGATGGAACTAACGAAGACCTGTCATACTGCTTTCCTCCCATTCCCTGCCTGCCTGCAGCCCCACAGAACAGTCTGTGGTGTGCCTCCGGCGCAGTCACCACTGCAGCATCGGCCTAGCCAGCAGCCTGGCACGACCTCTCACTGCTGCACGAGGCAGAGGCAAGCACAGCCAAGCAGCACATTCCTGGCATGCTGTAAAAGCTCTCTACCGAGCCTAACCTTCGTGTTTTTCCTGGACTTAGGAGTGAGATGGAAAGCCAGCACTTGCTCTGGAGGAGCTCTGAAGAGGTAAAGCGCATGCCACAGCAGGAGGCTGAAGGCAGCACATCACTCCACAGGCGCTGTGCTGGCCAGGGCAGGGCACAGGAGGACCCACGTGCTCTCACCCAGCAAAAATGAAGCTAAAAATACATTTGGCTGCTTATCCTTTAATACTTTGCTATATCACAAAACCAGTTTGTTACAAGACACACCTGGCTTTGCAGAGCAGACCTGCTGCAGAGGGCTGGGTCCTGTGGTTCTATGACTGCCTGGCATGCAGGAGAGGTCCCACTGCCTGGGATAAGCTGCTACCATCCATCCCTGACCAGCACCTCCCCTCTGCTGCTAATTGCCCACAGCAATGGACAAGATACAGTACAAACCACAACATTCTTGGTGCTCCCAGGTTCCTTCTGATGGTACATGGTGCTGCTTGGCTGTGATTTAGCATTTAAATTTACAACAAGACAATAATTACCACAGCACAGTTTAGATCATCTTACCATCATGGATCTCTCCAGCTCTACTTCATGGAGCAGCTCTGCAAACTCCTTAAAGGACTCAGCTGTAAAAAAAGAAGAGGCTGGTCAGTGGAGCTAGGATGTGGCACAGGAGCATGGGACACACGCCAGAGTACCCAAATCTGTCTGCACCCCCAGCATCGCTGTCTAAAGGCTTGCCAAAAACCAGAGAAAAGGCGGTCCCTATGTCAGAAACCGAGCGAGGCCAGGACACCAGTAAAGGCTGGCCATGAGAGGTATTTATTTACGCACCGGAGAGGGGCTCCTGCCCAAAGCAATGCTGGAGGCAACACCCTGGGAAGGGAAGGCAACATTAATCAACTTCTATTAGGAATTGTAGTACAAAGCCAGTAAGGCAGGTGGCAGGGAAGAGGCAATCACCGGCATCAGGGACCACAGCAGGATGTGCTCTGCCACAGTAGGGATGCCTGTCCTACCTCACTGCCTGCCAGCACCAGAATTGGCCCAGCACCTCTGTCTGAGCTGGAAACCACTGCAGGTGCATTCTAGGATCAAGACAAGCCTGTACAATGAAAACAGTCTGGAATGACAGCGATTATGTTCAGCAACAAGAAGCACAAAGTCCATGTACTTACAAAGGAGAGGCAGCAGATGCAGAAACAGTCACAGACATTGACATCATTCCCCAAAATGTTAAAAATTAAACAAAGATATCTAATTGATCAGCACTTTTCTTGGAGTCCAACTACAACAAAAATCACATGAAACCTTTCCTTTAACAAACTGGAACAACAAGGTTTATTTAGCCTGGGGGGGGGAAGACTAGGTGAGAGTAGCTGACTCTCTCACACCAACAGTGCATCACCAAAAGGGAACACTCAGCCCCTCTCTGCACACACCGAAGGAGAACATGGGAAGGGGCTGCATACGTAGCAGGGGTAAAAACCCCTCTCACCGGCAGAATGGGACAAGGAGCACTGCAAAAGCCTCTGTTCTCCAGGAGGCTGTCAGACACGGCTGGGCAAACATCTGGCTAGCATGCAGTGTGGCTGTGTGCTACACGCCTGCAGGGCACAATCCAATTGCCTCAGTGGGAACTACCTGGGAGCTAGCTGGGAAAGGTTCCCACAGTGCCACTCATCACCTTCCAGCAGTGGGAGCCGCACCCCGCTGGCAGCAATGGTTGGGACAGGTCTGGCGGCTTCACTTGGAAAGTACTGAACAGCTTTGTAAAACCTACAGGAGTCCTTGTGCTTGCAGTTCAGAGCCTCCAGTCTTTGTGAAGCGTGTGGAGGCTCCTGATCTCTGCCTGAGCATGAATGGAAGACCATCAGAAATGCCTGGCTGACACCAGAGCTCGTGAGCAGGGCAGTATCCAGAGCTCGAGTACACCGGGCTTGGCAGGTGTAACACAGGAGGGAACACATCAGGCATATAGCAAGGAGCACACAGGAATTGCTTGTCCCACAGATAAGGGGGGAGGATGCATTTCTGCTCCATGTGCAAGCTGAGTGCCCTCTCCCCTCATCCACAGGCAGTACCTGGAGCTACCTCTCCTGCTAAAAAAAGGCTGTAATGCAGCCACACAGCCAGCAAGTAGGAGCTTCCACTGTTACAGGATTCTCTCTGCAGTTGCTGAGACAGACACAAAAGGGAAAAACCACAGCCTCGTGACACAGTCCCTCAGCTGGCATCATCAAAACATAACCTTCTTGATGAGTCAGTAACTTCTGAGTTCTCTTCCAGAGCAAGAGCTTCAGAGCCCAGCACATGCAATGTCCTAATAGTTTATTATGCTTGACCACAGAGCCGACACACTGACTTTCACTGTGGTTTCTCAGGACAATGTGAAACCTGAAGTGCGCACAAACATCGGGAGCCGGAGCCAGAAAAGGAATTATCAAGGGCAGAAATAGAATCCAGCCCTGAACTTACAGAGAAAATGCCACTGCTGAAAATTGTCACTAGATGTTTCTTTCCTTGCTCTACAGGAAAAGCCCAGACACTCCATTTCCTGGCTGCAGTTACACTGAACTTGTCCCTGAACCACAAACACGTGCCTCAGGCTATACCGGGCTGCCAGACCAACAGTGTCTGGGGGCACTGGGGTAGATCCATGCTACCAGCCTGCAGAGTGGAGCAGGGAGGCTGCAGATGGAGACTGCCAAGCCACACCTGCGAACTACCCCGGAATGACTCAGATGGCCGGCCAGGAACACACCAGGAACGTCAGCAGCTTACAGCCAGAGGATTTCAGGTGCCCATGCCTAGGAGTGAGGAACGCAGCATCCCATTTCACTGCTCCATTCATCTCTAATGGAGCTGTTGATTCAGGTCCCACGCAGGTGACCAGTGGGGGGATGGCAGCCACTGTGTAACGCAGATATTAACATCCTAGAGGGAAGTGCTGCTCCTGACAGACAACATCAGCCCAGCATCTGTGTCCTGACTCACACTTGCAGAGTTCAAAGCTACCACCTGACGTGCAGGGGTGTCAGCCTCCTGTCTGCCTACACAAACAGAAAGATGTGCGCCATCAGCTATATTTACAGATCAAACATGTTCCCTGAAGTACGATAAGAAGTGTTTGTGAATGTTTTGCTTCATTCCTATATCCTGCACTTCAAATGAGCTCCCATGCAGATCTCTGCCACCCTTGCAGGAGATGGAAGCTGCTATGGAGATGTTAACGCCCTGCTGCTGTTTCAGGAATAAGGGAGTATTGCAAAGAGGCTCAGCCCCAGCCCGCACCGCAGGGATTGGTGTAGGAGAAGGAACATAGCACAGGCTTTTTCACAGGGCAAACCAGGGACCTCTTCTTGAACAAGCAAAACAAACATTTGTCAACAAAAACAGAAGCAGGGAATGCACTCCTTTCACCACGGAGTGTTCTACATTTGCTGTGATCACTTCTTGCTCTCCTCCACCCACCATCTCCCCATTCAACCTCTGCCATTCCTAGCATCCTTCCTTGCCCACCACCCCACCCCACTGCAGGCAGGCTCTGCTCCCCTCCCACAGCCAGCACACAGAGGCAGGCAAAGAGGCAGCACAGGGATACGGGACATCAGAGCTTTGTCCCTTCCAGCTGAGAGGAGGGACACTCCTTTCCTTGGGCAGCTGCTCACTTCAGATCCCTCTGCTCCCAGAAGGGGCATTTATAAGGCAATGTTTTCCCCTCCCTTTTCAGATGTGTTTGGAAATTTAGCACCCCTACTGCCATTAGATTTGGAGGCTGACTCATTTCCAGTGGGTTTTACCTAGAGACTTTCCATAAAGAAAAACAGATTTTGAATGGCAAGCTGCAATCCACTTTAAATCGCTTTAAATAAAATAAACCAAAGAACAAGCTTTACTTCCTTCCCTTTTCAGCGATGGCTGAGAGACCTGACATCAGCAATGTCACACTTTCAGTTGCTCTTCAACATCAGCCTGGGAAAAGCTTTTGCTTTTTTGTTCTTTTTTTCTACATCCAGCCCCTAGGAGCAGCCTGGGTTATGCCCTGAGACCCCCAACAGGGCAGCACAGGGTTTTATCCCATGGGCCAGGGTCAGACCCTTGCGGGCGGGAGGGTCTCCTGGCATCCCTCCTGCCAGGTGCCCTCCCTGCAGCACCATACCCCTGCATCAGCCATTCAATAGCACTCACTAAACCAACAGAAGGGTTAATTTGAAATGCAGTGCATTTAGGGCATTTAGGCCATTGGGTTTAGCTCCCTGGGTGCAGCTGGCACTTGTGTAATCTGCACAGTTGTACCATCCTGGCCGGGATGTAAAACGGCTTCAGGATTGCTAATCCTGAAGCAGATGTGCAGGGAGTACTACAACAGCTGTGCCACAGGCAGAGACGTGCGATTATTTTCTATACAACACCACATCCAGCACTTCCTTTCTCCCAGCAGTTTGCAGCCTGGTTCCTTTTCCAGGGCAGTGTGGGACTGCTTTGTTTTTGTAAGGCGTTTTCAGCAGAGCAAAGGAAGCTTTGGGAGCAGCACCCGCCTACACTGGGATACATGGCCGATGCTCAGCACCGAACACACTCCCGCTCCACCTGCAGCACTGGGAACAGGACATGCTGGGAGCCTCAGTGCTGCACCACCATCCTCCCCAGTGCCTGGCAGCACAGAGCAGGGCTGGAGCTGTGGAAAACCCCCACAAATTATCCGCTAAATTGGGAATGTGAAACTCTACCCGTGAAAGTTGAACTTTGTAAAATAAGTTATGGAAAAGCTGACTGGTATCTGAGGAACCTGCTCCTGATGCTCTTTAAAAAATATCAGTGCACAGAAAATTCCTAGAGAAGGAAAGGCTTTCTCAGTTACTGAAAGATGGCATCAAAAAGAAGAAAACTTACCAATATTGATCTCATCATCTGTTAGCGTGTCACCAATAAAGTCAAATTGAAAGGACTGCAAAGTCTGGGAGAACTTCTGCACTGCCGATGAGTAACCTGGAAAAGGACAGAGCAATAAGGCTGAGTATTTCTGCAGTCATTACACAGAAGTGGCAAGACAGCCATTTAGCCTGAATGGAACAAAAATATAATGAGGCAGTTAGCAAAATCCATAGATGTCAGGAATTTCAGCACTTGAGAAAATGCTGCAGTTGTAATAACAACGCTGATAATAATAGCTGATCAATAGCCTCATATCCTTCTGTGTACAGGAAGAGCAAGGAGGCTGTCAGACAGGCTTGTTGCTGTTCAAAGTGTTTTTTTCATTATATACAAGAAAAATCTGTGAAGTCAGAACATAAATGTGGGGAAAAAACAAAAGACTCAAAATAATTGCCCCTCGTTAGGGGGTCACAGACACAACCAAGCTCTAAGGAAGTAGGACAGTGCTGAAGCTGAGTGCAGGGAGCCAGAGGGCTCAAGCTGCGCTCCTCAGTGTGTCTACAGATGGCCCTGGGACCTGCTCCTGCCCCGCTGGGGGAGAAACAATCAGTCTTGAAGCAAAGACACTTCCTGATGGTGGTTGGTAGCTCAGCCCGAATTATTTTTGGACTTTCCAGAGAAATTTCTAGCCAAAGGATCCTTTGTGTCTCTGCATCCTGTGCGCCTGATTCACAGCTCCATCAGTGGCTCCACTGTGGGAAGGTGTCTGCTGACACTGGCAGAGAAGCTGCAGCCAGGATGGGGACACAACAACACAGCACACCCTGAGGCCAAAATCACCCACTCATGACAGCTGGGATAGCCACAGGAAGCACTTCACCACAGGAGAAACCGAGTCCTTCCTTCCTGGCAGAGCACAAGAGGCAGATGTGGTGGGTTTGGCAGCCTCACATCAACCATACCTTCCTGCCCAAAGAGATATGCTTTTTAGGAGGTTAGTCTTTCTCCAAATACCTGGGTTACAAACAGGAGGCTGAACTTGCCTGACCTTAGGGAATAGGATGTGGACAATAAAATAAAAGCAAAGGAATCATTTTATGCTTTGATTTAGTCAGCTATTTCCCTAATTCTGGACCCAGGTTGGATTCCTTTGACGGGGTGCACCGGATATAGTGCTTTCTGAGATTCAGGAAGCTGCAAGTGTGGAATACGTGACGACATGGATGTTAACACGCTACCAGCTCACATGGCCCTGCTTTGCCAAACCAGGGAAAGGACTGCTGTAACAGAGCAACTCTGTATATGTGGGTGGTGTTTTCTGGTGGGTTTTCTTTCCATTTGTCTGTTTAAGATAATAAGACATGCACAATTACCTTTGGCATCAGTTTTTAAAATCCGGAGGAGATAACAGCCAAAAAGGAGGTGTGAATTGGTGAGGAATTGTCTCTACACAGTATTGGCTACCCCCCTTCATTTCTCGCCTGAGGAAAATGGTGTTCTGGGTGTATTTTTGTTTGTTCTTTTCCACAGCACATTCAGTGGTAAAAAAACCTTATCACCACAGTGGCAAACATGATTTTTTTCTGAAATGCTGCTACAAAAGGGAGAGAAAAATTGGACAGCACTAAATTGGACATTGGGAAAAGAAAGCAAGCAGCAGGTCCCCAGACAGCTCTGCTTCCCCTGGCCCTATGTCAGGAGCACCCTGGGATGCTCCAGCCCTCCCCAAGGCCCCTGAATAACAGTGGCATGTGGGGACAGCCAGGTCCTCAGCTGGGGAAGAGAGCAGCCTCGAAGTGCAGACAGTCCCTGCTCTCCCCTCAAAAGCCTTGTTCAGCAGTTTCCTCCAAAGGGTCAAACCTTTGCTCCTGAATGGGCAGATTCAGGCCTGAATGTCGCTATTTAAGCACAGCTGCTGGAGGGGGCTGAGAGCATGTAAATGGGTGAACTCTAGCACAGAACGATGTCATTGATTTGATGGAAAACCTCAGCAAGTAATTCACTCTCAGTACCCACAGCATTCGCTTCAGGCTGGGGCGGGAGGCTTTCATACAGTTGTCGCTCAGGGGAATCTTTGTTTGTCCCCCTGAAAACCCTCCTCATCTTCCCTGGATGCTGCTGACATTCCCTGCCAACCCCTCCTTGCTCCTCAACTACATTTGTTAGTGGGTAAACTTCAATCATTCAATTTAAACACCCATCTGACCCAGCACTGGGTTGCTGAGCAGCTGCTCTGAAAGCCAGCAGCACCCTTACCAGCATCCCATCCATCCATCCATCCATGCATCCATGTGCACTGGCAGGGGTACAGGGATGAGGCCTCAGCTAGCTCTGGCTGCGTGTGTCCCTGTGAGCCAGGAGCACGCACAACCCTGTTTTGGGACAGAGGGCTTCACACACTGGTTTTCCATTGCATCTGTCAGCACAGTGTTTAGCCCCAGAATCAGAGAAATGGTCCTTGGCGAGCTGCTTGCCTTTTTATTTTTATAGAAACAGGGGGTAAGGCAATAGCAGAGAAAAAGCCAAACACAATATATTTTAACCAGAAAAAAAGAAAGGGTATAGCTGATTTAAATTACATTTTCCTTTCAAAACGTCTGGCCTGAACATTTATTTGCCAATTGTCTAGCTGAAGGAAATCGAAATGGAAACGCTATAAACCACATCTCACATTAGCTTAAGAGTGAAAAAACAAAATGAGCACCCTTTAATTAGTCCAGTGCTGTTTGGTTTCGTTCGGGACAAGGAATTTTTTTCATAATAGCGAGCCATCCTCATCCTCACTTTCAGCCAAGTTGGTGTAGGAAGCCCACCTCATGCTGCCCTGCTGCACAGAGCTAACACTGCCTGAAGGTGGGCAGCCATCCCCCTGTGCCATGCCATGGTGGCGGGGGGTCCAGGAGCTGCTCAGCACCACGCATGGACTCATCCATAGAATAACAACTGTGGAAGATGCAGGGTTAGGGAAGGAGAGGCCAAGCCAGAAGGAGAGCCAGTGCTGTGAACGCCTGGCATGGGTCCTGAGGAGCACTTAATGGGAAACAGACTCTTGTGGACCAGCGTGACTCGTCCTTATACACGTACAGAGCCTTGGCTGAACACTGGCTTCTGACAAGCCCTATACACTCATGCAGGACGGACAGCATTGGGTACTGCTGTGGTATTATGGGTGGTGTTGTGATGGTGGGGTGTTTATTGGGAAATTAACACTGGGACGACCCTGGCAGCTGCTCCTGCCACTGCAGTGCCCACTGGCACCAGCCACCATGATGAGGAGATGCTCGCGCCTGGGGGCTGAGTCCCTGTGGGGTCGAGGGCCAAGACTCAATGCAGAGCATCATCATGCACTGCTTAGAGGTATCTTCGGTGGCACCCAAACAGTGGCTTATGACACCAGGGGATGGTGCAGGGCAGGGGGGGATGGGGAGAAAGGGATGAGCCACAGCCACAGGAAAGCGGCTTGACAGCAGGAAGGGGCCACCATGGTCAGCAGCTGGAGCAGGACAGGAAGAGATCAGCTGTGTGGAACAACTGGGCTAAGCTCATGCGGGAATACAGACACTTAGAAACCTTTTCCTTCCTGGTACAACTGCACAGCTACTGAATGCCGCCCAGCTTCGCATACCCCAAGCCTGCCAGGGGGGAGAAGGGTACAGGCTGGAGAGCTGCAGCTGCAGGGTCTTGCCTTGCTCACACAGGGATGCATGCAAAGAGCCAGGCCGTGCTTCTAAAGCAGGGAGATGACTGCAATCAACACACAAAGTCCCACCCGCCAGCAATCCCGAAGGACCCAGCCTGCCCTTGTACAGCTCAGCCCGTTTCAATGGAAACGCACCAAAACGAATTCGATCAGGGTTCCTCTAGGACTCTTCCTTGCAGCATTCAGTAAGCAGGGCCAACTCTCACAATTTGTGGTCACAGTAATTTACTCTCCTAGGGAAAATCAAGTCCCATCTCTTCGCTCAGAAAAGCTCCAGCCAAGCTGCGCCTGGCAGGAGAGAGAGAAGCAATGCCAGCTCCAGCCACAGCCTTAGGAGCTACACAAAGAACTTTCTGGTTGTATTTATGTATATATAACACACTTCCAGAGACTGCAGCTAGTGAAGGATGTGTCCCACAGCCCGCTCAGCAAAGTCCTAGCAGGGATTCCCATTTCAGCCTTTCACAGCAACCACAGGTAATCGAAGACCACAAAGAAATCTTGCTGTCTTTGCAAAAGCCACAGGCCTCTGAAAAAGCACAGATTATACCCAGGGGCCCTAAACCAGTTTGTGGTTCTGCTTTCTGCCCCCCAGTGCTTGCAATTTAAAGTGGAAGGAAACCACCAGCTGCAGGACAGACCGCATGGGGGCCACAGCCCTGTGCACCACTGCTCACTGACGTGGCTGGAGAGCGGGACACAGAGGTGCCACTCAAGGGTCCATAAAGCTCGAGGTGTCACAGATGCACATCTTTAGGGAGCCCTGCATGCACTCCTCAGGGGAGGGTCACACTTCTCTAAGTCTCTGTCTGGTGATTGCAGTGGTCCTCTCTTGCTGGGAGAGGAAACAGTGTTCCTGAGAACACGGAAATGGAAGTGCCAGTGACTTGTGCACATGCTTGGACCACCTCATTCAAAACCACAGAGACACAATGTGACGTCGGGTGTAACAGAGACACAGAGACAGCAGCGTGGTTTCTAGAAACAAACATTTTAAAAAACAACAGAAAACCTCCTACAGGTTAAAAGAACAGGTCTTTGGCTAATCCTTAGTCACACCCTGCTCCCTGTGCATCGTTCTGCAAACTAAGGGGAAAAAACAAACAAGCCAACAAACCAAACCAACCAAACAAAAAAAATACACCTCATCATCACAGCAGTCATCGGCCAGTGACATTTCTTGAGCAAACACAGTCCTTGATTTAACTTGACTCCAACTGAGGGTAGGTACTGCAAGGCATGAACAGCTGGCCTGAGATCAGCTCCCATCCTGACCCCAGGAACCGTGCAGGATGCCTACGTTGGAAGGTGAGAAGCAACTTTAGCTGGTCTCCCTGCCTGGGCCAGCACATGGGCTGCAAGGGGAACAGCATCACCCGAGACTTTCATGGCCACTCGGAAGCCTCTGCATTCG